AATTTTAAGGAATGTAAATATTTAAATTAAATTATGAGAGAATTTTGTTGGTGGTTATTTAATTTAAAAATATAGGAAAAAGGAAGAAGTGCTTTGAAGAAAGTCCTAACCTCTATTTTACTTTTGATTTCCCATCCAAAATCCAGACACAAGGAAATCTTCCCCTGTTCAGAAATCTCAAAAAAATTTTTAAAGTAAAAATAGAAATTTAAGTAAATCTCAAAATAGAAGTAAAACCTTGAGAAATAAACTTTAAATTATAAAAAAGCAAAAAAAGAAACTGGGAAAAAATATTTTTAATAAAAAAGTTGAAGGCATCTGAGACCTTTGGGCATATTGTAATTGCTGGCAATTCCCCCCCCCCCTCTAAAAAGCGGGCACTTTACAAGTGCCTAAGGACTTTTTTAAATTATTTTTAGTTATTAAGAAATCGTCAAATCTTTAAATGTTTATCGATAAATTAGAAAAAGTATGTGTTGTACAGGAGTGATTATATAAATATATAGTTGAGATTAGAAGAATGCCTATTGAATAAAGTATTTGACTATTATTTAGTATTGCCAAATATAGTACTATTTAACAAGTATTAACTGATATATTTTGCTAATCTCAACTATTTAAAATTGAATTACCAAAAAAGAAAGTTTTTTATATTGTAAATAACTTTAAAACATTTTCAAATTCTTTTAAATCCATTAATTATCATAAGCAGCTTCATGCTTTCCAATGTCATAAGTGAAAGGCTTGGTATCATCCATCCCAAAGTTGACCTCTGCATCGCAATTCTTAATGATGATGTGTGGAAGTAAATCAACATCTTCTGACATCAGAATTGTCTTGTCTTAAAAATTTGATTTAAATTTTTGAGGTAATGAGAAATGGGTTAGATTTGAACAATTTTATGAACCAATTAATTTTGTGTGACACTGAACCAGAGTTGTTTCGAAATTGCCAGAACCCTATGCCAGGTACCGCCCAAACCCTATGAGTAAATTCGCCTAGCTCTGCTTTGCTATATGTATCAGGGGATTTTACTCGAATCCTCCATTATGCTCTTAATCCACACAGATCTCATGATGAGAGATCCACATGAGACTTAACAAAAATTAATTTTCCATTTTTTTATAAAAAAATTTTTTCGATTTTCGTTTTTCGATTTTCGAGGTTATTTTTCTTTCGGTTTCGAAGATTTTGAAAAATATTCGATATTTTTGGATTTCTTTCGATTTCCGATTTTCGAAGATTTTTTTGTTTCGAAACATTTCTGCACTGAACATACTAGTCTTCCCTTTAACGGTAGTGTGTTTCACCAGAAAAGTTTACCATAATTTTAAGGAGATTAAAAGGAAAAAAACTGTCCAGCATACCATAGTAAAATAAATTAAAAATGTTCAAACCAATTTGCTTCCCATCCATTGTAAAGAATATTTGTGTCGGTGCATTCGGCTTGTTGCGTGGAGGAAAGATCTGACCAACTCCAAAAATAACACAATCAGTCAGAGGCTCGCTAAACATTCGCTTAGTAGTAGCAGTGTAATAGTGACCATCACTACTAACGCGGAAGAAGCAATTCGTGTCCTTATAAAGACCAAGTTCTGCTTTCCAACTAAAAATTTTTTAATGTAAACTTGGAGATTGGGAGGTAGTGCGAAACTTCCGGACCGACTTTTGCGGACCATAGGTTTAGGTTTTTGTTTTCTATCGTAACTTTGTCCAAGCTTGTACAATCACGATGATTTTAATGTCATTCGACTCAGCTCGTCGAGCTCTTTCGAATGGGCTATGTTTTGAGAAATTCGTCGGGTCCGCAAGTTTCGGTCCGCAAAAGTCGGTCCGCACGTTTCGGCCTGCCGATTGGGAAACTTGGAGACTAACTCGAAAATGTTAAAATTTTTAAACATTCAAAACTTACTCCATATTCTCGTAAGTGTCCGGAATAACAATCATCTCAGCATAAAAGACAACATAAGTCTGTCCTGAGACGTCAGAAGGGATATTAGCCCTCATAAATTTACTCTCAGCAACAACCATTATTGGACGATTACTTTCTTTAAAATTTTTTATTTAAATGAATACTCAGAAAAATAATAATAACCAAGATTCCGAGTAGAACATAAATATTTTGCCAAAATACCGCATTCGCGTATTTTCACGATTCCATTCCCATTACGGCAAAAAGAACCGACAGGCAAACATTTTGAATCACAGCAACTCATAACCTTAGCAACCTTTACCAATTTATTTTTGGGCAAAACAAGCACCTTGAAATTAAGCATTTAATGATTTTCTGAAAGTTTTAAAAGATCTTAGGAGATAAAATTGTAATTATAAAGAAGAAACTGAATTGGTCATAAGCTAAATTACTATGTATTTACATTATTTATAATGGAAAATTATGATATTAGTACTTGTTCTTCATATTTCTTTTCTAATTCTTCCATCTTTTGTTTATACTCTTCTTCAATTTCCTTATTAAATTGTTCGGTTACTCCATCCAGAATATCCTGGACCTTCGGCATGCCCAACACTGTGTGAGCGCATTCTTCTCTATTCTTTCTTATCTTCTCTTGTTTTTCAATTTCAATTTTTTTAATAATATCTTCAAGCTTAACTACCCTAATTTTTCTTTTGTTAATTTTTTTAAAATAATTCTGAAAAAATAAAATTTAGAAAAAATTTCAACCATAAAAATATTTCGATATACCGTATTTATTCTAATAGAATGGCCGCCATTCTATATTTCGATACCCCCAAAAAAGGGCCATTCAATTGGAGGGCCATTCAAATGGAGGTGGCCATTCTATTGTATTTTTCGTAGGTCAGAAGTAGAGATTTGATATCAAATATCCTATTTAATTTTGTTTGAATTCGAAATTTTACCGACTTATTTTTAGTAAAATTCGGTATTTGAATTTGTTTTTTACTTTTCCTCCCAGTATCAGTTTAATTCAAAAGTTTTGCCTGCTGCCAATGAACTAAATGGCAAAGTTTGATTAACTCTGATCCCACACAATCAAAATTTCCGGTAGTTGGGACCTAATTGTTTGTGGCATTGAGGAATTTGGTCGTGATTTATAACTCCTCAAACTAAAGTTATAAAAAAATACTTTACCAATATTTCTTTTAAAGTATTTCCACTAAATAAGTAAATTATCTTAGAAGAAATTAACACATTTTCACTACATTTAATTTTCGAAACAAAATATTTTTGTTGTTTTGATGTATCATTTATTTGTTTTTTTATTAATAAATTTCCATATCCATTAATTGATCTTGATATTTCATAAATCAATTCAATTGGAATTGGTTTATTATTTTGTTGTTTTTTTGTTAAGGTCATTTTTACAAGAATAACAAAAATTTTTTGTTGTTTTTTGTATTTTTAAAAATTTTCAAGAATTATTCACTAAATGAAATCGAAATAAAATTTAAAAATGTTGAAAAGAATATTACCACTCTTTTTTGCGGAGATGCCTATAGATCGAGATATAGGTCCTAAAAATCGAAAAACCATGAGGAGGGGCAAGCACTTTTTTGGGGTGAAAGATTCGAAAATGCACATATTAGCTCATTCAAGAGCTCGTTGAGACGAATCGAATCGTTTGGGTTTTGTACGAAACTGAAACTTCGGTATCTACAGCCGGAATTGTATCAGCATAGCCGATTTTAATATTAAAAACGACCCTAAACTTGAATGAGTAATATTTAGAATTATTTCAACAAAACATAAATTGGGTAGGGGTAAGGTTCGAAGAGATAAAAATATAAAAATATGAGGGTATTTATAGGGGCAGAAGGATGATGAAAGTACTCGAAATTATGGGCCTAGAGGAAAATGTCTAAATGCGAAGAAAGAAATGATTAAGAAATATGAGAAGGGAAAGTAAATTGAATTTATGTAATTTAAATTTAAAAAGAAAAAAAACATTTAAAAATGTTGAGAGGGTTAATTCGTTTATATATTTGAATGTGGTTATTAAAAATAAAATAATCATTTAATAAATAATAAAAACAAAAAACTTGTTCGAAGTTGAAATATTTTCTCCATGGAGAGGTATTTTCTCCTTGAAAATGAATTAGAAATAAAATTTAATGAAGAAAAGGATGGAGAAAATATATGAATTTTAAAATTGTTAAGTCCGGTTTCGACCAATCCATTTAAATCGCCGATATATCACCAAGCCATTGAGAAATCAATGGAGTAATCTCCGTTAATCCCAAAAATCCTCATCTCTTCATTGTACACCTCCAATTCAAAGAACGATAGATTGTCCAATATACATAATTCTAGGGTCGGTGGAAATAGATACCAGAAAATCAAAGAGGATATCAGGGAATTTCGATGGATATCGGGAAATCAAGAGGAGTATCAGGTAGTTCGGCGGATATAGTAGGATTTGTATTAACAAAATATTCGCAAAAAAGGAAGATTTTTTGGCTTAAGTGTCTTCCAACATGAGAAATAAAACCTCAATTTACTTTGTTTAGTTTATCCTTTTAATTTAATTTTAACTATTCTTAAAATTTTATCCCTGTATTTTTCGATACTAAACACATTCTTTTTGTTAATAATTAATACTATATTTTGATTTTAAAATTAAAATTATAAATTTTTATTTTCTAAAAATAAGCATACAAAATATAAATAACAAAAAAATCTTGTTTTTAAAAAAAGAGCTCGTTCTACAATGTTTTTAGGAATGTTTTTATATTCCAAATAACAAAAACAAATGACTTAGCAAAAAATTTAAAAAAATAAATTGCAATATTTTAAGGAATGTATTTATTTAATTAAAAAATATAGGAAAAAGGAAGAGAAGTGCTTTGAAGAAAGTCCTAACCTCTATTTTACTTGTGCTTTTCCATAAGAAATCCAGACAAAAGGGGATTTTCTCCTCTGTTCAGAAATCTCAACTAAAATTTCTGTATAATAGGTAAGTAAATCCATAAAATAGAGGTAAAACTTAGGGAAATAAACTTTAAATTATTTAAAAAAGCAAAAAAAAAAGAAGAAACTGGGAAAATATTTTTTAAATAAAAAATGCAAAGTTTAAAAAAGAAAAAGCTGAGAGTAAAAGAAAAGCGATCGAGCATTTCAAAATTAAAAGAAGAAAGGCAAAGAATAAATTCTAAATAACTAAAAATATTTTTAAAAAATGGCAAAAGGGAAATGAGTGTTTGACACAATTAAATTAAAGATTCTCTCTAAAATTTAACAAAAAAAATTCTCAAAAATTGTGTCAACCCAAACACAAAACTTTAATTAATTTTAAAAATCAAGTACTACTACTAGTACTCCCCCTTTCAACAACAGTTCTTAAACGTGTTATATTTCCTTCTGGATCTCTCAATTCAAATTCATCTGTCCTCCCACTTTCTAAAATTGCTTTTATTTGTTGCTCATCCTTTAAAACAATTTTACAAAAATATTTAAAAAAATATTTTTTTCTACCTCAGTACCGGCAAAACGGACACGGCTATAAATTGGATCACGAACTCTGGTTATTGCTGTTCTGAAATTTTTTAGAAATTTTCAAAAGTCCCAATTAAATATCCAAATACCTAACAATCTTTTCTTCACTTCCATCAGCCGAATTTACACTAACAGTTTCAAAAATTGTTTTTTCAGAATCATCATCATCCTCTTCTTCTTTATCTAAACTTCCCCCACTCGGAACTATTATTTCTCCTCCTCCTCCCCCACCAAAAACAAAATCTCCTTCTTTCTTTTCAGAAGTTGAAGGAATATTTTGTTTTTTAATTATTTCTTTTTGTTGTTTAAATAAATCTTCTGTTTTTCCTTTAAATTCTGGTTTTTGTTGTTCTGATATTATTTTTGGTTTTGGAGAAATATTTGTAATTATTTTATCTTCTTCCTCTTCTTGTTTTTCTTCTTTTTCATCTGGTATTTGTTTTGGGGGAGGCGGGGTTTCTGTTAGACTTTCTGACGATCTTTCTATTGATGATATTTGTAATATTTTTTCAGATTCAGGAGATTGTTGTTGAGCAATTAATTCAATTTGTTGTGCTATAATTAATTGAAATATGTTTTGAATAATCAAAGGACTTTTTTAAATTAACGAGATAATGGTGCCGTGTGATTTGGGCAGTGGTGAATTGGGCAGTAAGTAATTTGGGCAGTGAGTGATTTGGGCAGTAAACGTTTTTTAAAAAATAATTTTACACGCAAAAACAATTTGAGTAACGTTAAAAAAATAATTTTGAGTGATTTGGGCAGTAACTTAGAATTTTTAAATTATTTACACAAAAATTCAAAGAACCGCACCCCTTTTTCATTTTGATAACGTTTTAGGTACAACATTACCCTTTGTTGAAATCGTCTTGGTCTCAATTTTGACGTTTCCCTAAGTGATAAGTAGATTTAAGGTGTGAAAAATTGAGAAATAATTCATATTTTAAGTTTTTAGGTCTCAAGATAGGTCCAAAATATCCGAAAAAGGTCAAAATAGTTTTGGAAAAATATGTTCAAATTTTGGATTTATTTTAAGTTAAATAAAAATACCTGGAATTTTTCTTATCAATTTTAAGTAATTTAAAAATTCTAAGTTACTGCCCAAATCACTCAAAATTATTCTTCTAACGTTACTCAAAGTGTTTTTGCGTGTAAAATTATTTTTTAAAAAACGTTTACTGCCCAAATCACTCACTGCCCAAATTACTCACTGCCCAATTCACCACTGCCGTTTTCACCAGACACGGAGATAATAGCTTACTTTTTGGGATTCGAGTTTTCTTTTCATTATACATAAATCTCAAAAAGTAATTAATAAGAAAAAGCCGAACACATATTTCAACACATATTTCAAGACTCAAATATACTCAATTGACATACACCAAAAGTCAAGTGTTGGCAAGAGAGGAGTAACTTACTCTCTGCTCTCTAACCCTTATTTTTTCTTCATTTAATTTCTAATAAAAATTACAAAACTAAAATTTCGAACATTAATATTTACTGAATTTTGGTTACATAACTGAAAAGAACTCCACGATCTTTCCCATTCCCCAAATTCTCAATTTCTCGAATTTACTAATTATTTCTCTTGTACATAGTAGGTATATTTAAAAAACCCTTACTTTGTCCACTAGAATCATAACCAGAACTAATCATCATTACTTCATTATTATTATTCTCTTTTTTTAATTCCTTCCCTAAATAATCCCTTCCATCATTTTCCTCCTCCTCTTCTTCTTCAATTTCTTCTCCACTTAATTCATAACCTTCTACTTCTTCACCTTCTTCATCCTCTCTAATATCACTCAACATCATTATATCTTCAGAAGCAACAGCTTCGTGTATTTCTCTTTCCAATTGTTCGAATTCATTGAGTGAATCGGCTGTTAAGAATTTTAAAAAATTAAATTTAAAAGCTCTATCTGTTAATATACTACTACAAAAAAGTTTAATTTACCAGATCCTCTATGAGCAGCACCAACACCTCCATCTCTAGTTGGTGATTGATGTTGCTGCTTTCCAGCCGATTTTCTTCTTTTTCCTTCCCCAGCCTCAGGAGAATGTTGTGGACTTGAATTTAGATTCTTTGCACTTCCTCCTCCTTCAATTATTTCTTGTTCAATTCTTTCAAATTCAGATAAACTTCCATTTGTAGAACCATGAACTGAAGCAGCAGAACTTCGTCTACGTCTTTTTTCTGATGGTGAGGTATCAAGAGAACCTCCTATTTGATGTTGAGGTTCTTCTAATGGCTCTTCTTCTCCTTCTTCTGTTTCTTCAATTTGCACCTAAAATAAGATTTTGATTTGAAATAATTGAAATAATTTTCACCTTTTTTTTCTGTCCCCAATCCTCTCCCTCTTTTTGTTCTTTAATAAAAGAGGAAAGCCATGGATCGTCAATTATATCCTTCCCATGTGATTTTACTTCCTCCAAACTTTTTGAATGTACAATCATCAAGTCGGGACCAAGAGTATCACGTTCCTCTGAAATTGTGGGTCCAAAATAATGCTCTTCATCCTCATCACCATCTTTATGTGTAGAAAACACGAGTAAATTATCAACAGGCATTTTAACTGAAGAAAATAAAATGATAAGAAAAATAAATTTTTATTCATTAAGGTCGTAAGGGTGAGAGTCTGTTAATTTCCAAATTTTCTGAATCTCAGAGAACCAAAAAATATGGAATTTATGCCCAGCAATACATGTAAATGAATTATTTGTAATTTAACTAACCATCGCTTAAAAGCATAGATTCCTCCTCTTCTTCATCTCGTTTAATCTCTTCAATTTCCACTTCTTCCTCCACTTCCTCCCTTTTTTCTTTATCCTTTTCAATATTCTCCACTTTTCCTGTCTGTGGTGGTGTTGCAGCAATTGGAGGTGGAAGTGGGGATTTTGGTCTTCTCGGTATTCCTGAGGGTAAAAGAAGTGAAGAAGAAGGTAATAAAGAATGATGGTCCCTTCTTTCCTCTTCTCCTTCCCCAGCTTTATACAATTCTGAAGGGCTTTGTTGACTATTTTCTCCACTTAATTCTTCATCACCATCTCCGTATACTAATTCGGGAGAATTATTGGCTTCTCCTTCATTTTCTTCTTTCTCCTCTGTTGTCAGTAAGGATATTTCTTCATCCTCCTCTTCTGATTCAGAGGATTTTCTAGATTCGGAAATATTTACAAAAATTTGTTCATCCTTGTTGTCTTCGTCATCTAATTTTTCATCTGTCAATTTTGTTCCTTCCTCGATAAAATTTTTCTGTTTATCCTCTTCTTCCAACCGCTGCAAGTCTTCATCTTGTTCTTTCATTAACTCCTTATCTCTTTCATTTGTAAATTTCATCTGTTCATCAACGTCTTCAGTAAATTTCTTCATTTCCTCCTCTTTTCTATAGCCAGGAACATTTTCAGCCTCCTCAAGATGAGTATCACGTTGAAGTATCATACTGTCCTCAAGTGCTCGTTTAATAGCATTATCAACAAGTTCACCAGCTTGTTTAGCAACTTCTTTTTCAAATAAATGCTCTTTTTCTAATTCATCAGTTTTCATAATTTCCTTCCGTTCATCTTCCTCTAACCTCTTCAGCTCGTCTTCTTGTTCGTTAATCACTTTATTTTGATCTTCTTCGATAAATTTGTTATGTTCATCTTCTTTCAAAAATTTACCATTTTCATCCTCGTAAACAAATTCCTTCGGCTCATCCTTTACTAATATTAATTCTTCCTTCGTATCCTTTCCTTCCATAAATTTCTTCTCATCCTCGTATTCTTCTGTTATTAATTTCCTATCATCCCCTTTGATGGATTTATCATCTTCCTCTTTTTCCATAAATTCTTTCTTTTCATCAATTCTTTCTTCAATAAATACTTTCGATTCATCCCCTTCCTCTATAAGATTCTTCTGCGTAACATCTTCTTTTAATCCATGAAACTCTTCCTCTTTTTCTTTCATTAACTCCTCATTCCTTTCGTCGGTAAAGTTCTTATGTTCATCAATATCTTGAAGAAATTTCTTCTGTTCATCAAATTCTTCAGTAAATTTCGTCATCTCTTCGCCCTTTTCTGTAAATTCCTTCCTTTCTTCCTCTCTTTTTTCCCCATCAACAAATTCCTTAGGATCTCTCTCCACTTGAACTCTCTCCTCATCCATTAATTGCCTTTTCTCATCCTCTCCTATATATTCCTTCTTCTCTTCATGTACTTCCATAGATCTCCTATGATCATCCTTTGCTCCCATAGATCTCTGTAGCTCATCCTCTTGTTCGTCCATTAATTTGCTTTGTTCAACCTCTTCCATAAATTTTTCCCTATCATCATCTACCTTTTCTTCTGTCAACTCCCTCATATCATGCTTTTCACTCATGTATTTCTTATACTCATCTTCTAATTTTTCTTCTTCAACAAATTTTCCACTTTCATCCTCATGTTCTTCTACTATAGATTCCCTCTTCTCATCCACGTTATCCTTAAGTTTCCTTTGAGGATCTTCTTCAATACATTCTTTTTCTCCCTCTTCCTCCTTATATTCTTTCTGAACATCATCTACTTTTTCGTCTGTTAATTCCTCTATTTCTTCAATATATTCTTTCCTGCCTTCTTCCAAAAAATTCTTCTCTTCCTCTTTTTCTATATATTCTCTCCTTTCTTCCTCCTCTTCCAGAAATTTCTTTTTAGCATCTTCTTCTCCAAAACACTTTTTCTGATCCTCATCTACTTTTTCGTCTGTTAATTCTTCCCTTTCTTCAATATATTCCTTCTCTCCTTCATCAGAAAATGTCTTCATTTCTTGCTCTTGTTTTTCCATATACTCTTTCTTTTCTTCCTCCTTTTCCATAGACATACTTCCAGCATCAACTTCTTCAATATAGCTCTTTTGATCATTATTTACTTCTTCGCCTGTTAGTTCTATTTTCTCGTCCTCTTCTACCGTAATATATTCCTTCCTATCTTCATCCGTTAAGTTATCCTCTTCCTTCTGGATTTCTATATATTCTTTCTTTCCTTCCTCTTCCTCCGGTAATTTCTTTCTCTCAACATCTTCTATATGTTCCTTTTCATCTTCTAAAAATATCTTCTGATCTTCTTTTTGTTCTTCTATATGTTCAATATTCTCGAGCTCTCCCTCCGTAAATTTCTCCCCCTCTTCTTTTAAATATTCTTTTTCTTCATCCAAAGATGTTTTCCTGTCATCTTCTTCTTCTACTATATGTTCATTCTTTTCAGGCTCTCCCTCCATCAATTTCTCCTCCTCATTCATTTTGAAATATTCTTTCTCTTCACCCAAAGATGTCTTCTCTTCTAGTATATGTTCATCTTTCTCGACGTTATTCTCCGTCAGTTTCCTTCCTTCATCCCCTTCTTCTATATATTCCTTTTCTTCATCCAAAAATGTTTCCTTCGTTTCTTCATGTTTTTCTATATTATAATCTTTTATCTCCTCCTCTTGTTCTTTAGATTTTATTTCATCATTCTCTTCCTCAATATACTCTTTCTCCTTTTCTAAAGATATTCTCTCTTCATCCTTTTCCTTCATAAGTTCATTCTTTTCTTGTTCTTCTTGCATAAACTTAATCTGCTCATCTTCTTGTATCTCTTCCTCCTCTTTCAAATATTCTTTTTCTATTAAATCCTTTTCATACCTTTCTTCACTAAGATCCTTCTTCTCTTCTTCGAGCAATTTCTTCTCATCCTCTTCTTCAGTAAAATCTCTTATCTTTTCCAATACTTCCGTAAATTTCTTTTCTTCAGCCACATCTTTCACATATTCATTCTCTTCTTCCAATAATATATTCCTTTCATCTTGCTTTTCTATAATCTCTTTCCTTTCCTCCTCTTCCTCATTAAATTTTCTTCCAGCATGCTCTTCTTCAATATACTCTTTTTCTATTTCCATTAACGTCTTATCCTCTTGTTCTTGTATATATTCTTTCTCCACTTCTTCTTCTTCTGACGATTTTCTCTCATTCTCTTCTATATATTCCTTTTCTTCTTCCAAAAATATCTTCCTATCTTCTTTTTGTTCTTCTGCACGTTCAATTTTCTCCTCTTTTTCCGTATATCTCTCCCCCACATCCTCTTTGATGATATATTCCTTGTCTTCTTCCTTTTCATCGGTAAACTTTTCCTCATCCTTCTCTTCGGTAAATTCTTTCTTCTCTTTCTCTTCCTGGATAGATTCATTTTTCATATCTTCTTTATCTTCTGATAATTCTTTCCTCTCTTCCTCTACTAATAACTTCTTCCCATCCTCTACTTCTTCACTAACTACTTCCTTCCTATCCTCTTCTTCGATAAATCTTTTCTGCTCATCCTCTTCTATATATTCCTTATTTACGTCATCTTTTTCAATAAAAGTCTTCAATCCACCATCCTCATTTTCATCTGTCAGCGGTTTCTTTTCATACTCTTCTGCCATTAATTCTTCCTTCCCGAAATCCTCATCTTCCCCATATTCTTTCTTATCATCATATTCTTCATTAAAATTTCCATGTTTATCATTTTCTTCTATAGACTCTTTCCGCACATCCTCTTTCTCTTCTATAAGCTTCTTCTCTTCTTTTATTAATTTCTGTTCACCTTCAACCTTTTCTTCTTCTACAAATTTCTTATCTTCTTGTTCTTCCTCAATTAATTGATCTTTCTCATTTCCTTCCTCCTTAAATTTATCCCTCTCATCTTCATCCTCTACTAATCTCTTCAATTCTTCCTCTTGTTCCTTCATTAATCTTTTCTGTTCATACTCTTCTTCCACTACTTTTTTCTCATATTCCTCTTCCATTAATTTTTTCTGCCCATCTTCTTTCTTCCGATCATTTTCTTTAAATCCATTCTTCTCTTCCTCCTCTTCTATGATTACATTTCTCTCTTCTTCATTGTCCCTCATTTGTCGCCTTTCCCATTCTTCCTCATCTTCAATTGGTGGAGGGGTAATTTCAATTATAGGTGAAGGGGAAGGGTAAGAATGGACTGGTGAACTAAGTGAAGAAGGGGAATGACGTTCATCCAAACTTTTCCAACGAGCTGCACTCATTGTGGGCGTTTGACAACCCTGAAATATCAAAATATTATTTTTTAAATCAACATTAATTATTTCACCTCTTCCCCCTGTAGTGAAAATGCTCGATCCATTAAAGGTGTAATATCCACAGCTTCTTCTATAAGCACTTCTGGTCTATGTATAACTGTGTGAGTGCTTAAAATAAAAAAAATAATTAAGAGAATTTTCCCAGTTAATTTACCTAGATTGTTCATCTGTTTCTTCTTCATCCTTTTCTTCTTCAATTAATTTCTCTTTTTCCTCAACAGATATTTTTTGTTGATTTTCTAACATTTCTGGTTTATTTTCTTCATTTAATTTTTCTTCAGAAATTAAAATTTCCTTTTTTGTTTTTGTTGTATTCCACCAAGGGTTTTCTTCAATTAAAGTTTCTGTTTCGTTTAATTTCTCCTTCTCTTCCTCTGGCCATAATAGTGCTTTTCTTTCTTCTAAAACCTCTTTTTCATTAATAAAACTTTCAATAGGCACTTTATCAAGCCACACAGTTGATTGAATTTGCTCAGATTTTTGTAGAGGTTCGCTCATTACTAAAAAATATAGGGACATTTACATGGACATTCTTATAGATTGCTACTATTCATTTTACACATAAAAACCTCTATCCCTCTTTTAATTAAATTAATTAAAATAAATTATTTACCCAATTAAACTTAATTTTCTAAAAAGTATACCAATTATTTCTTTATTTTCCTCCTCCTTTTCCTCAATTTCTTCCTCTTTTTCACTTTCCATTTTTACAAATTCATCTTCTTCCTTCGACATTTGAACAAATTCAAAATCTTCTTCTTCTTCAACTTTCTCTTTTTTCAATTCTTCCAATTTTCTCTCTTCCTCATTTTCTTCATTTTCAATTAAATATTCTCCTTTTCCATGCTCCCCTTCAATAATTTCTTTATCCTTAACTGATTTTTCTGTTTCTTGAAGAATTTCTTTTTCATATATCTCATCTTTATACGATTCTCCTTTTTCTGTTTGATCTTCAAAGTGTACGTCTTTATCTTCTTCTAAGGTGTGAGTTAAATCTAAAATATATTTTTAAGAAGAGATTGGTTGGAAGGGATGGGTGGGGTTGAGATAAGTCGGTTCGGGTTATGGGAAATAAAGAAATTCTCAAAATATAAAGAGAATTCTAAAATATTAATCACTCCATTATCTTAATTCACCATTTAACAACCTTCAAAATTTGCCACAACTAGAATCCCGGGAGATAAGAAAATATGGTTCTCATTAGAAAAATTCGAGTCAGAAATTAAAAATCTCTACACTACTTTAATAATCATTTCCTCACTTTACCTAAATCAGTTTTTTCAACATCTCTTTTTCTCCTTTCAATTTCCCCAAAAGCTTCCACATGTGATGGTTCTTCAGTAACAATTGAATGAAAAACTTGTGGTTTCTGTATAAAATGTTGTTCTTCTTCAATTAAGGGTTCACTAATTTCAAAAAATAAATATTCTTCAATTTTTGTATATTCTTTTCTTAAACAATTTGCTTCTCCTTTTTCTTCAAATTTTTCTAATAAAAAATTATTTTCAATTTCTTGAAATTTTTCTTCGTGTTTTCGAGGGGAAACTGTAGGTGAAGGCGTTAAACGAGTTGGGGAAGTTATTCGAGGAATTTTTGATTTATTTGCACCAGGGACATCGCTGCCAACTGGGGATGGTTGTCTTTGTTCGTCTCGAGGACTTTTTCTTTCTTCAGATTTTTCCTTAAAAATATTAAAATAAAATTAGTATTTTTAAATGAGCATTTGTTTGTAAAATTTTATAACCCTAAAAAACATCTAAAATCGTAAAAATTTGCTTTAATATTTTTTAACATTATTATCTGACCTTATAGAATTTTTAGATTTTTTAATTAAAAATAATAATTAAAAAATTCTTGTAAAAAAGTTGATTTTCATAAAATAATAATTTTTATCTTATTTTGTTAGTCTAATTAAACATTATCTTTTGATATTTTTATAGGGATACACTCTAAGGGCATTAACACCTTTTAAGTTCCCAGCCTCGTATGAATTACCTTATCTGGAGTTTTTTTCGGTTGTGGATGCCACCCAAATCTTCTTTTTGCTCCATCAACAGAATCTTCACTTTCCTCAACTTTTTTAAGCAATTCAAATTGTGCTATTTTATCTTTTACACTAATTGAACTTGTCGTCATTAAAGAATCTGGTTGTGAAGTTATTGAAATTGAGAGGGATTCTGGTGGTAGTGGGGATTCTAAAAATTATAAAAAAAATTAATTTAAAGATTTTTTTATAAAATTTAGATCAAAATTTGTTTATTATAATCCTCACTAATCTGTGAGAAACAGATCCATCCCTTTTAATTTTTAGATTTTTATTTAAGATAAGGTTAAATATTCCCTTAAATTACCTAAAATAAATGGAAATTCCAAAAATTGGGTTAAATAAATTAAAAGGAATATAAATTAAATTTTAATTTTGATTGAAATATATTATTTTTAATTTAAATTTTACTATTTATCAACTAAACACACCACTATACATACTTATTTTGATAATTAATTAATTACATTTACATAGTGAGATACATTCACAATTTACAAAAAATGATAAAAAAATATATTTTCTTAAATAAATAATTTCAAGATATACTTCTTTCATAACTTTCTGGTGAAAAAGACCGCGATTAGAAAGATTCGAATACTTATTAAGCAGTCTAGTTTCCTAAACATTACATATCTCGTCCTATACAATTTTTAAGAACTACTCAAAAACAAGACTATATTTAATGCTTGACTCGTTGAAACTTAATTTTTCAATTAATATTTTATTTGTTTAATTTAAAATAATTTCCGCATCTTTTTAGGATTTTTTCTTATTCCAAAAATATTTTTATTTATATTTTTTATTCAAATTAAACAATATATATTTTATAATAAAAACAATTCTTTATATAAAATCTTTTCTAAAATTTTAATTTTTAAACTCTATAAATTGGAATTGTTTTCTCTATTGACTGTGTTCGAGAAGTTGCTGAATTGTTGAAAGAAGGAAGGAGGAGAGGAGGGCGATTGAATGATTGACGGCCTTAAATGTTTTTTGGGAATTTTTTGGGTAAAAAATACAGCAAAGTATTAAGTACAGTCATTAAATACAGCAAGGACGGCAAAAGGAAGAAGAAAAAATTTTGGTGAGGAGAAAAATTATTTTTAATTTTAAAGACCATTCAAAAGAAAGCAAACAAAACAACTTTTTTTGTTAGAAAGATAATTGCCGGACTTTTTTAAATTTTAAAAGTAAAATATTGCTGCTGATTACTTCTAAATATCAATAAATATCCAAAGATATCTCTGTTTATCCGCAAATATCAAGCAGCTTTAATTCAGACAATTCAAACAAACAAAACCACAGCAAAATAATATTTTTAATAAAATTAAAATTAATTAATTCACCAACCTTCATCTCTAATGGGATATTGTTGTTCTGCAGGTGATGATTGTGGTGAATAGCCTGCAGCACCGGCAGAAGGAGCGGCAGATGCAAACTCATCAAGTCCTAATTTTTAACCAAATTTTTTAATTTCAATTTAATTAAATTAAAAGTCATCAATCGGTTAAACACAAAAAGTTTATTTATTTATTTATTATCCAAAATATTACAAAAAGCGAAAGATGTAATTTGCATTAAAATCAAGTGATTAATTGAAGTAGGTATATTCTAGGTGGATGTTCGGGAATAGGAAAAATCGGGAATTGAGAAAATCGGATCGGGAATTGAGAAAAAATGGAAAAAGATGGGATCGGAAGGAAATCTTAAATGGAAGTCCCGAACATCACTAGTATATTTAATTTAGTAAGAAATAGCCAAATTCACCAACATAATCCCTCACCTCATATCCTGAAGTAAAGTGATTAAAAAATCTAAATAAAAGTAAAATAGTTTAAAATATGAGAAAGAGCAAAAATGTGTAAAATTGCTCTCTCAAATGATGTTTTTGGCTACCTCTAGAATTTTAAATCTAGCTTGTTTTTAAGAAAAGTGAAATTATGTAAATACCTATACAATATAAAATGGAAGAAGAAAAAATTGCCAGAAATTTTGCCACTCAATTTTAATTTGATTTTTAGTGTTACTAAATAGATAATGAAAGATGATAAATAATTTCGTTAAAAACAAAAATCTTAACAAAAAACAAAAAAAAACAAAAAATTTACTTTCAAAAATACAAAAAAAAACTTTTATTTTTTGTTTAACCGATCAATGACTTTTTGTGGAAATATCAAAAACCTTTAATACGAGATTGGCTAGTAGAGATTATATGTGTCCGTTTTTTAGTAACCATTGTTGTGTCATCAACTGGGAAACTTTCTTGTATTTGTTCAAATTGTTGAATTTCTAGAGTTTTTAAAGGAATTTTTAAGGGAATTTTTTTCTAAATTTATGCCACATTCCCCTAAAATTTATTTTAAAAATTACCAGGATGTTCTCTTCTTGCCCATTCTTCCTCTTTTTCTTTTTTCTCGTCTTCAAGATTGGCACTAGCATCTTTTGCTGGCTCAATTTTATTTGCACCTACAAAAGAGAAAATAATTTTTTGAATTTTTAAATTTTTCTGAAAAATTTTATTTAAACGATGCTGGATATTTTACAAAAAAAAAGGAATCAGGCCGAACTTAAAGTTCCAATGAAGTAATCATGGCTCTAACCAAACTAGGACATGATACGGATATGGATACAGATATTGTAAGAATGCCTGCGGATATCTGTCTGTATCCGCCTGTATCCGCCGTAAATATGCGGATACGGATACCAAAATCAGTATCCGTGTCCTAGTCTGGCTCTAACTAAAATTCTTTCCGGGAACAAAAAATGAAATTTTCTCTTTATGGCAAGAAATTATTTTTAATAAAATTGGATTGAGTATTTCCTAAATTAATCTAATAATTAGGCAAAATATCCCAGCATTGTTTTACTTTAATTATTTTAAAATAACCAGGAGAATGTGGCTAATTTGGGAGGAAATTTTTTAAAATAAATTTTTTAATCAACTAAATTGTAGAAAAGCAAAAAATTAGAGAAAGCACACACACAACAAACAAGCAAAAATAAAATAAAAAACACCACAAAAATATTTATTTATTTTTAAATTAAATCCCCCCCCCCCCCCCCCCCAATTATTTAATTAAATCCCCCTCATTATTTTCTTTCTTACTAATTTTCTCCATTAATTTCCTCTGCAATTCCAACAATTTCTCTACATTAAGACCAACCATTCCCGGAGTTTCCTTTATTTTTTATTAAAATTTTTTAAATATTTTTTTTTCAAAACCGTTTCATATTGTTGTTTAGTTGTTATTGTTCTTCTAACAGAATTTACAGTTATTTGTAAATCTGCTTGGGGGTGCTTTTCGGCAAGGAAATTACCCAATTTTTCAGTTAAAGCATCATCATCGGGTAAACGCATACCCGCTGCTTCTATAGTTATTTCTGCTTCAAGTTGACGTAATCTGTCAACTGAAGAAGGTTTTTGTTGGGGTTGGGGTTGTTGGGGACTTTGTTGTTGTGAAGAAGTTGAAGAAAATGGTTGTTGGAATTTTATTGGAATATTTCTTGTATCGGACATTATTTTTTAAATGCTATTTTAACTAATAGAGAATAAAACTAGGTAATAATACAAAAATAATCTAATAGTATGCCGGATCTTGTTCTTATCCAATTGAAACTGAAAGATATGATAATGAGGAGGTATATAAAGAAGGTATCGCTTTTAAGCAGCTTTTCCCATCTTATAGGACGAATAACTTTAAAATTATTCATGTTGAGAGTGTATACATATAATATTGGAAAACGAGATAAGATTATACCATAAAAAGCCATGGTTATCTTATTCTATAATTTTTAATTAATTCAGTCAAAACCTTAGGTAAAATTGTTTCAAACTGTCAGAAATGATTTTCGAACAAGTCTCCCATAGTATGTCTATAACAAAGAAAATATACGGGAATGCTCTCAGTTTTTTGGATAAAATTGAATGAGGAATTCATTAAATAACAAAAATATAAAATGAAAGACTAGACTAATTCCTTCTAATTTAGCTTGATCGGGGATCGATTCAATTGAAGATTGATTTAATGCTTGGAAGGAGGAACAAACAATTGCAGGCATTTAGCCTATAACAAACACTTAAAGAAACGTGAGAGAGAAACAGAGGAGACTTAATATATCTATTTAATCCTTTGCTTTACCTACAAATACTCTTTCCTCTATTAAAAAATATTTTTCTTTAAAAGAACTACCCACACCAATTGTTTCAATAGATACCTACATATTATTTTTATTTTAATAAATAAAAATACCCCCAAAAAATTTAATACATCCCCAAAATTTTTTAATTTTAAAATATTCACAAAATCACAAAATAACAATAACTACTAAAAATATTTATTTAAGCACAAAATATAATTAAATATTAACCAAACACAAAACAATAACAAAAATAAATTGCAGATTTTTAAAGAAATATATATTTTTAAGTATTTTAGAAACTAAAAAATAGATTAAGTAATTAGAGAATTTTTAAGTATTTTTTAATTGAGAGAGAATGGATTTTTAAATATAAATTATTTTTTAAATCTTTAGAGTGGAAAAATTTGAACGAAAAACTGAATTTTCTATTAGAGATGTAGAGCTTTAATTGTGTTTTTAGTAGAGAGGAGATTCTATTGGAGAGATGCTTCCGTTTGAGAATAAGACTCTTTTAGGACGGATCCAATTAAGAAAATGAATATTTTTTAAGTTAATTTAGTATGTTGCCCAAAATTTTTCCACGCGCCTTCGGCTCTTATCCAAGTAAAGGTTGGGTACTTCCAAAATTCTTGGTTATTTTTGACCTTATTTAGTTCTCTACCATTTAAGCGTTATTTGATCTTATTATCTTTTATTTGAATAAAGTTACGCCATAAATAAAGTGCCCGGTTATTTTTTTGTCACCCTGTAGTTAACAAAGAACCGAAAATTTATTTTTAAATCCATTCCCTCTTTTATTAATTTATTTTTGGGTAGTTTTGTTTAATAATGAGATTTATTTTAATTAAATATATTTAGAGAGAATTTAAAAATTAAACTAGCTACTAGTATTTTTAAAAAATTGAGTGGCAAAATTGGCAAGTTTTTTAAACTAAATTAAGTGTTTTTAATAAATTGCGTGATTTTTAGCAAAAATTAAAGAGAAAAAAACTAATTAAATGACTAAAGGAAATTTTAAAAAATTTAAAAAAATATTTTAAAGATTATTTAGAAGGAAAAAAGAGTGCTTTAGCTAGAAATTATTTTAAAGATAAAAAAGGGTTGGACAAAACATGAAAAGGCTGATTAAAAAAATTTAAACTCTCGATATAACCATTAAAGGAAGGGAATTATTGTTCTAGTTATTTTAGAAGACCGCCCCCCCCCCATCTCAGATTTTAGTGTTACACAAAAATTTCAGAATTTTATAATTTTTGTTAAGTCAAAAAATGGATGCTTATTAAAGAATTATTTTTTTACGATTAATTGTCGTTAATAGAGTTGGGGTTTTCGAGTCGGGCCGACGTTCGAGACATTTTTATCGGGCCGGCCTGGCCGAGTTTTTTTCGGGCCAAAATTTGATGCCTAACTCGATATTTCGGACCTGTTCGGGCCCCTAACCCTGATCATTAATTTAATTTTTTTAATCAGCCTTTCCTTTAATTTAGCAAAATATCAATTAAAAATTAGCTATAAAATTCGCCTGCCTTTTTTTTAAAAAATTACTCTACAAATTTTCTACTACTTTGTAGTTACATCATCATGACTACTACCTCTTTTTTGTTGTTGTTCTTCTTCTTGAATATCTTCCTCATTAAATCCATTACTTGTTTCACGATGAACATTGTCGTAGGTACTTATGCCTAAATCTGTTCCTCCTCCTCCTCCTTCTTTTTCTTCATCTTTTTCTTCAAATGTTGAACTTTTCTCTACTTCAGTAAGAGGTTCATTATCTTCTTGAAAATGTATTTCTTCTTCATAAATTTTGAAGGGATCATCTGCTTCTTGTGGCTTATCATCGTGTATAATAACAGAAGAACCTTTACATAATTTTTAGGATATTTTTTTGTGGAGTTAAATATAAGAAATGTCAGCAAATAAAACAAATTTATATAAAAAAATTATAAAAATGAGCTTAGAGTCATGAAAGTTTGGAAAAATATTCCCAACAATATTAGTTAGCTCTTCCAAAAATTCAAATTTTTTTTGCTTTTTTATCAAGTTATTTTCGAACGATAGAAAGATTACTGAAAATGTATCTGCATTTTGGAAACTATGACTTTAGAAAAAATCAGAACTTCTCAAAATATTTACAATAATGAGAATATTCAAGCAGTTTTTACAAGGTCAGAAATCAAAGTTACATACTAACCTACCTATATAATTTTTAAAAATAAAGTTTGCGTGAATTATTTGCTGACAAAATATTGCTTAAAAAGAACATCCCCCTATAACGGACCTTCACTACTATGCTGAGACTGAATTCCCGTAGAATGTTTATTTTCATCCTCTTCCTCCACTATTATTGGGGAAGGAGATTCTTCTTCTATTGGAGAAGATTCAATTTCTTTCTGAGGTTCTTCTTCAACCTCTTCAATATTAATTGGCGGTGGTTCTCTTAAATGTTCTGTAGTAATTAAAGTTGTTGTTTTAACAGTAGTTTGTCCAACTGGATGACCTTCCTCATCATATTCCATTAAATGTTGTTCATCTCCATCGACAACCATTGCCTTTCGACTTCTTTGAAGATAATCCATTGCTTCGTTATTTTCTGGCTCTCCTTCAACTTGCGCCCCAGTCATTTCTTCCCATTGAGCCTGTTCTTGTTCATTTAATGGCTGGCCAAGTTTTCGCTCTTCGAGTTGTTCCATCTGGAACAAATGAGGAATTTTATTTTTATTTTCATCTTCTTTTTATTTTCACCTGTTGGCCGTCTCGGAAAATTTGAGTGGTAACATGTTCATCAACTACAGGCTCATTAATGTCCTCAGAATGATGTACATGACGTTCAGTTCGAGTAACCACTGTTTCAACGTCAATTTGTTGTTCTGGAGCAGTTAAAGTAACTGGTTGGGCAGCTAAAAATTAGGGATGATAATATATAAATAGTACTTAGGGTAACTTAAATTTTAAAAAATGAGAAATTACACAGCAATATGGTTATGAAAATATAGTAAATGCTTTAATAATAGAAGGGCTCACAATTTAGCTTTAGGATAGGAACCAGTTAATGGCTGTCACATTTAAAAGTATTTATCAAAATAGGACCGAACATATAATTAGCAGTGCCCTTTTATTGAAGCAGAAAATAAGGGAGTTCAAGGAGCGCCCTTTATATTGAAGCATTAAAAAATATTTTGGAGAAAACAAATAAACAGTAACAAAATAACAACAAACAACATATAAAAATAGAGAAAGAGTAAACGGCAAATTGTTAAGTTTATTAGGAAATAAAAATTAAGAATTTCTTAAAATAAAATAAAAACTTTTTAGCCATCCTGGAAACATTCCCAATCACGAAGAGGTTAAATTTTAAAGGCGGGGACAGATTTTACGGAGAACGGAGGTTGAACTCTAGTTTGAGAAATAAAATTGCAATAAACGAAGTGTAAATACATATATTAAATTAGGAAAAAATTTAAAAAAGTAAGCAGAAAATATTCGAAGTTTGAAAGTAATTGATAAATAAATAAAAAGAAAAACGGAAAATTGATAGGTAAATGTTAAATTTTTTAGAAAAAAAAAATAATTTAAAAAGCAAAAATAATTTAAGAGATTAGGTAAATTAAGAAAAGAAAGCAACAGACCAATTTAAAAATAAATTTAAAAAATTATTATTTTAATTTTAAGCAGCAGTAGAGATCGTTAAAAAAATGATCAAAAAGACAAAAACAAAAAAAAACATCAAAGCAAAAACAAACAATTACATTCAAAATTATTTTAAAATTAAAAAAATAATTTTAAAATAACACAAAAAAATTATTTTTATTTTTATTTTATTTTAAAAAAATTTCCCTACCAAACAAAGGTGCAGCTGCAACTTCAGCAGTTGGAGTAATTGCTGCAGCTATAGCCGATACTTCAATTGGTGCTGATTGTTGTGGAACTATTATATTATTAGCCTGTTGTATAGGGGTTACTAGACTTCCTTTGCTTGAAAAGTCTTGTCTTAAATTAACAGGCGTTCCAATTGCAGCAGAAGATAAATTAATGTCTGAATCAGCTGCTCCCATTAAATGATTGTCTGAATCTGTCATTCGAACACAAATATCATCACGACCAATTTGACGAAGTGCTTGGCGAAGATCTGATTCTGAAGAAGAAAAAAATATTTTAGAATTCCCCCTTCTCCCGCTAACCATTAGCAGAAGTTCCTTTCAAAAACACCCAAATTTTTAACATATGAAGAGCTTCCTGCCCTCCTCCAGAAGGGACTTCTCTACGAATTTGTCTAATATCATCTGGATGGATTCCAAGAACTCTTCCCAATCTTGCCCAATCTGCCCCAATAGTTTTTGAAACAAATTCGATTGGAATGTTTGGATAAGTCTCTGCTACATTTGTAGATAAAGCATCAGAATAACGTTGGGTAAGAGGCGCCTGTTTCTTGAATTGGTCATCTTCACCTCCTCCCCCTCCTCCTTTTTGTTCAGACAAAACTAACGAAGGTAATGGACCTGTATAGTCTGGCAACTTTAAAAAAATTTAGAATTTTTAAATTAAAAATTTATTTAAAAATACAGTAATCGATAGCATGCAAATTGGATGTTGGGGAGGTAAAATATCTGCTCTATTAAGAGGTTCTTTCATTATTGCAACTTTGCCGGAAGAAGCAGCTTCTTGATCGTCTTGTTGTCGAACCTAATAGAAGGAAAAGTTTTTTAAGAAAATTATAGAGGTTAGGGGCTAAAGGTAAGAGGCTGGGCCAAAGGTATCATTCACTCCCTTTAAATTACCTTAATATTAAAAGCCAATCTATTCTCTTGAAAAGGTTGAAAGAAAATAGATAATTGATCTCCTCTTTTAGTAACTGGAACTAAATTTCCAGCAAACTCTAGCCATTGATGTTTTCCCTCCAAAACTTCAACGTCTCTCGAAACAGCAATTCTTTGAAATCCTTCTTGTTTTTCTAATGTTTTTTCTTCTTTATCATCTGTCATACAAAACATTCTAAGTTGTCCTTCTGTTGGGAATGAGCGACGGCCAAATACAGCAAAACGTGCCATAAATGGAATTGCTATTGCTTCGTTGTAAATTTCTTGGGCCATTTTTGCAGCATCTCTCGGGGTCTAGTTAATATAAAATTTTTGTAAATTAGAAGAAATAGAGATAAAAAATGAGTATTTGAGCTGTTATATAATGCAAAGATCCTTATTCGGGTTGCCGTTTTTGAACCGGGCCGACGTTCGAATCATTTTTCTGGCCTAATTTTTATCGAACCGGACCGCTCAAGTCTTTTTCGGGGCAAAATTCGATGCCCGATTCCTAATCCTTATTATATACAATTTTTTAAATTTTAGTTGATTGGTAATTTTAGTGAACTATTTAATTTTCGGTATACATTCAATTAAAGACAGTTATTTTAAAGAAAGTGAATTTAGAATGTAATTAAAAAATCAGAAATTGTTTTAATTTAATTTACCTGACAATCCATTAACCAGAAACGTGCAGAAACTGTTGTTGTGAAGGATATCTGGAAATATTTGTATTTTAGAATTATTTTTTGTTAAATTCCTCTCTTAAAACCCTCAAAATTACTACCTCATCTCCAGAGAAGGTTAATTGTGTCGTTCCAGTAATATCCTCCCATTGGGCAGGCATTACACCTCCAGTAATGCTACATAAAAGACGAAGTGTTGGAGGTTCATGTTGTGGTTGTTGTGAATCTTTTTGGTCCTTTCCAGGTTTTTCTTGTTGATATTGTGTTAACATTCCTTTGTTTGTTGATTGAGGTAAGGGAATACAAAGGGTTATTGGCTGGAAAAAATTTTTTAAATTATTTTTAATAAAATGATGTTTAAAAATGGAGCATGTTAGCAAGGACATTTAGAATTCAAAAATGAGCATATCCGAGGATATCCTTAGGTAATCCAACAAAAAATCGAAAATTTTTTTTCGGATTTTCCAAATAAAATTAGTAATTACTTTATGGAATTTTCGCCTTCTCGGTTCAACCGTAACAATTGGAGAGACAGCAACTCTATTTCCATGAAGTTTGGTAACTAATTCTTGTGGGACTGGTTGTGCTTGTAGAGATACTTTAATTGTTTTAGTCAAAGAACCATCAGGAAATATTGCCTTAAAATTGAAATTTAGGTCGAGATCAAATTAATTAAAATTTACTTGAACATTCGAAACAACAGACGAGAGAATTACTCCTCCTTCTGGACCAACACAATGTACCTAAAAAATAATTTTTTTAATCAAAGTCAAAGCTTTATTCAAGCCATAGGTAAAGGACCAATTAGTAGAGGCCATAGGTAAAGGCCTCTACTAATAATTTTCTGGAATTCACCAATCCTCCCTATATTCTCTTTAGCATCCTCGGAGAGAAGCAATTTTTTAAAACCCACTTCCTGTCTAACACGAGTAACAACAGCAAAATACATTGGAAAATCATTAGTCAAAATTCTAGTAATTCTTGAAGTGTGTAATTCATCCAATTGTTGTAACTCTTGAGCATCGAAAGATTCATTTAAAACTTCCTAAAAATGGTATTTTTTGAATATTTTTTTCTTAAAAAAATCATGCCTGAACAGCATCTTCAGTCGCTTCTAATTGGTGTTCCTTCCAAAATTTCCCATCATCTGAGCGAAGAATTACCTACAAACAAGAGAAAAGATTTCTAAAAAAATTTCAAAAAAATTCTTTACAATTTCTCTTTCACGTCCTCTGAGCGAAGCAAAGTGCGGAACTTCAAGAATTACAGGTCCAAGAAATTTGGCACCTGCCGGGCCCATTTCAAGTATACGAGAGGCTAAGGCTTCTCCTTCACTTAAACGAAGCGGAACTGGCAATTTTTCCTTTAAAATTAAAATTTTTTGGATTTTTGAATAAATAACAACTTTTTTTAAGTAACGACAAGTTATTCGGGTTGGAGCTTCTGCTTTACGAGGAGGAATTATTACACGAACACCCGAATGTCGACAACCCCTCATTGCACCACCACGTGCATCTACCATGAAGGAAATGAGGAAACTGAAAAGAAGGGAGGAAAATTAAAATTTTTAGCAGACGTTAATAAAAAAGAATTTAAAAAAGAGTAAAAACAAATCACAAAAAATGGAAAAATATAAAAACTTTAATGGGAATATTATACAGGGTGCGGCAAAAGTTCCCGTACTTTTGTTAAGCATAAAATTTTTTTCATATATTTTCCCATAAAATCTTAAAACCCAAATTACGAATAATAAAATTGCTTGATTATTCCGAATATAATCACTGATACTTAGCAAAAATAGAAGGAATTTAAATAAAAAAAATCAAATTTAAAACACCTATCACTAAAAACAAACACACAAATAAATAAGCAATACTTATTGACAAACCACTTAATATATTTTTTAAACCCACGTTTTCATGAATAATTTGCTAAAAATTAATTTTTTAAAAATACTCTTCCAAAAAATATTTTTTTGTTTAAAATTCAAAAAATTATTTCCCCTTTCCTTCCTTACCTAGGTTGAATTAATTCATTTCTATTTAATGCAATATTATCATCATGTCCATTTTCCAAAAAGCTTGGGTCTGGAAAAGCTGTAGAAATGGGAACATTTTGTGCTCTTTTAATTATAGCTTCTAAATCAGCATCTGTTTCAAAAGGAGAAGAACTTTTGCTTAATTGTTGTTCTCCAGTGTGAATTAAATGAACGACTGCAGAATCACGTAAACCCTTTGAAAAAATATTTTTTTGATTTTTTTTGAAAGTATTAAAAAGATAAGAGGAAATTAAAGCTTCCTCGAAATACACCCTCCTATTGTTAGTTTACACATAAATTTTATCGAATAACTTGTTTTTACTTCCCCCTTTAAGTTTCCAACTAATAGAATTTTTAAATAATTTTAAACATCCACAAGCTGTTAACAGATTCTGGACCAGAAAAGTTAATATTTCCAAAATTTTCTGATCTGGGGATTTTGTTTTTATTAAAAAAATTCTGAATTTTATGAAAAATGAGTTTTCAGCTTGAGTTTTCGTTACTTTACTCATTTTTAGTTCGTGTTTTTAAATGGTTGTAGAATGCTATAAGATAATTTCCTTTGATCCTTATTTAATTATCAACTAGATAAAGATCTTATATCGATATATGACCAATAATAAAATTATTACTTGAGTTATAGACTCATTAAAGTCTCTAGCATGTTCAGCAGCAGCAACTTGATGGTCATCAGCTTCTTCTTCCGAATCAGAAAATATCCTAAGCTTTTTAATTATTTTCATTTTAAATTTATTTTTTAATTAAAAATAAGGTCAAAATTTGCCCTGAATTTTTTAAAGAAAAAATAAATTATTGCGCAAAGAGATTTAAAAAGTGTAAAAAGTAGCAAATAAAATATTGAGCGAGAATTACCCCCCGCAACACTTTTTTTAATTTTTTTGTTTAACTAATTGTTTGCTAGAAAAATAAAAAGAAAAGATTGATTAGGTGAAAAAAAGATGAAGAATTTAGTATATTTGACAAAAATATTTTTATTTTTTTTGTCAGAATATCTTTTAAGAAATAAATAGAGTACATTCTGTATTTGAATTATTAAGTAAAAATATTCTAAAAATAAATTTAAAAGCTTAAAAGGATTATAAAAATGTTTTAGTAAAAATATTTATTTATTTAAATGCCCCCAACACCTTCGATTAAGAATTATTTGGACTAAAACTTTAAGTTGGCTATAGTGAACAGAATTAAAAAAGGAAAAGAAAAATATAAACAAGTGTTTATGAGCATTATGAAACTTAATCAGGGTATCTTTGCCTTTCTAAAATATATCTTTTTAAGAGTGAGAAAACATCCAAGAATTATTTATTCTAAAATTTTTGGTCATTCTTTTTCCAAATATAATAAGCTATATTAGTAAATTAATCAGAATAATAGGATAAAGAGAGGATTAGAAAATAATTCATATAAGAGATATAGAAAATGATTTCTTTAGAATTTTAAAAATTTTAAAATTTTGGCATTAACTTTAGACGCAAGCATTAATTTTCACATATTTTTCTATAAAAATTAAAAAAATAAATTTACGTTTCATTCATAGCCTCGGGATTTTGAGGTTTATAACGTTCATCAGTTATTGTTGTTGTTTCGGTAATAACCTTTAGAAAATTAAATTTTAAAATAATGAACAGAATTAAGAAGTGAACCGTTGTTTCTGTAACAGTTTTTAATGTTTCTACAACAGAAACATAACCTAAACGTTGAGCAATTGAAAGAGGTGTTTGTCCAGACTTTAAAAATTAAATTAAAATTATTTTTTAAAGAATTTTTATTTTTACATTAGTTTTTATATTTGGAGAAGCGCCATTTTCGAGTAAATAACGAACAACGTGATTATGACCTGAAGAAATTTAAAAATAAAAATTCTAAACAATTAAAAAAGCACCTTGCTGTGCAGCTTGATGTAAAGCTGTATAATTAGCTCTAGTTTCTGCATTAATAACAGCCCCGTGTTCAACTAGCCATTTAACCATTGCTAATTGTCCAAAATGGCAGGCAACATGAAGTGGAGTATATCTTTAGAAGGAAATATAAATATTGGGAAGGGGAATGAGGAATTATAAATATTGTATAGAAATTACAAATTATAATCCTTATTGGTTCCCAGCATTGTTTATAACTAGGGATCCTGTTAACACAAACACCCTTCTATCTCTAATTTTTGGAAATGAGGAGAATACCTAATCTTTACCAAAATTCGAGTAACAACCCCCAAGTAACTGAATCGATATAACTACTATTTTAATAAAGCTCTACCCAGCATTAGTTTTAGAATTAACATCAGCTTCACATTGAAAGAGTTGCTCAGCAACATCCACTCTATCCTCTTGTGCACATAAATGCATTGGAGTTAATCCATTTTTTGCTTTAGCATTTACCTTTATTTTTATTTTAAATTAAATCAATCAAAATTTGATTTTTACTTTAGATCCTTTTTCAACTAATAAAGCAACCATTTGAATATGTCCCTCATCTGAGGCTAAATGTAAAGGAGTAAATCCAGCTCTGCTTTCTGCATTAGGATCAGCACGGTAAGCAAGTAAAGATTGGGCTATTTCCATCTTTTAATTTTAAAATTTATTTTAAAAAATTAGACTAAACTCTCATTAATAGCGACTCGAAGGGAAAGGAAGTAAATAATGACGAGGATATTTTGAATATTAAAACGGATTTTGTTTTAGAATGGAAAGCTAATTGTTGCTAATAAACTAGTTGCTATTAGAGAGTCTAGAATATTTTCTCTACCTGATTCTTTTTAGCAGCAATATGTAAAGGAGTATAACCATTCTTGGCACAAGCTTGCGCTCTAGCACCATCTTAAGATTTTCACTAATTATTACTTAAAATTAAAAATAAACATACGTTCAAGCAGAAGCTGGGCAACCTTAAAAATTATGACTTTAAATATTTAAAAGTAGAAGGTAATTGTGGAGAGGAATACTAAACTCTTTTTAAAGCCTCTCAAAGCCCTCTCATTACATTATTCTTTAACCGAAGGTTTAATTACCTTTTCATTATTATAATGTGCAGCAACATGTAACGGAGTTACTTGATTTTTTCCTTCAATATCTATTGGAGTTCCTTTCTCTAACAAAAGTTTAACAACTCCATAATTTCCATATTTAGCAGCTAAATGTAATGGAGAGAATCCTTTTTTAGTTAATAATTGCTTGTTTGCTTTTTTATCAAGTAAAAGTTGAACAACTTCTTCTTGGCCTTCTTTTGCCTTTAAAAAATATTTAAGTATATATTTATGAACGGATAAGTTAGAACACTCAACCCTCATCCACGGAATCTCCTCGGGTAAAGAATTGCCCCCCGACCTTGCCTTACTCCAACTAAAACTATCTTACTCCTCACTCAAAGCCGAAAAACTTTTTTGTTCAAAAATTTTTTTATTAAAATTGTTGAGAAGTTGGAGGCCAAGAAAATTTAGAAAAAATATTCTCTACTACCGCAATATGTAAAGGCGTGTATTGATCTCTAGTTGCAGCATTTGGATTAGCATGTGCATTTAAAAGGATTAAAGCAATGTCAGAATTACCAAGACGTGCTACAAAAAGATTCGTTTAAATTTTTTAAAAAGCAAAATTTTTCAACCAGCAATATGTAAAGGTGTTTGTAATTCTCTAGCTTGAGCATCTACATTTGCTTTATTCCGTACAAGTACACGGACAATATCCTTAAAAATTAATTTAAGCAAATATTAAAATAATTTTCTAACAGTTTGATTTGCTCTAGCAGCCAAATGTAAAGGTGTTTCTCCTCTAACTGTTTCACAATCAACGTTGGCACCCTTTAAAATTAAAAATTAAATTATAAATGTAATTAAATCTATTAAAGTTAGAGAGCACAGAGTAAGTTACTCTACTCATGTCAATACATTTGACATTTTAGGTGTATGTCGAATGAGGTCATTAGAGTCTTGAAATATACAACTACAAAAAGGATACTAGAGAAAATTATTTTTTTAATTTAATGTCTTCAAGTTACAATGTAGACTTTTTTGAAAGGATTTTTTATTCTCAAAAATACCTGTTGAATGAGAAAAATAACAATATTAATGCATCCCATAAATGAAGCGACATGTAAAGGTGAAAGGCCAGATTCTGTTGTGGCCCCAACACTCGCATGATATTTTAATAAAAGTTCAACAACTTTAATTCTGTTCTTTTTACATGCAATGTGTAAAGGAGTGAATCTTTAAAAATATTTAATTATGTATAGTTATATATACATGTATTTGGCCCTATATCAGTTAAATTCCTCTATCCACCTCGAAAATATTTAACATAATTAGGTAGACAAAAAATGTGTTCCTTCCATAGAGAGGGTGGGGTGAAGGGAACCAAAACGGAGTACTCAGAATATTTACCCAAGCTTTTTAGTTTAAAAATCCAAAAAAAATTTACCCATTAAGAGCTCTAGCATTTGGATCAGCCTGTCTATCCAAAAGTAATTTAGCTACACTAACATGCCCACAATGAGCAGCAACATGTAAAGGTGTTAAATAATCAACTGTGACTTCGTCTACATTTGCCTTGTGATAGAGGAGAATACGTGCACAATCAAACTAGAAAATTAATGAGAAATTTATAAAGATACATATTGGATTGGATTAGGATCAAAATTTAAAAAAATTAAAAAGCAAGCTGTGATTTTTTAAATTTTCATGAAAGTAGAGAAAATAATAAATGAATTTTTTGGTTACTTTCCATATTTATTAGATCTTTTTGAGTAATCATAAATTTCTCAAATTTTATTTAGTACTCCCCCCCCCCCCCCCCCACTCTTACATGATCTCCCTGTGCAGCCATATGTAAGGGTGCCAATCCATTTTTAGTTTTTGCAGCAATAGGAGCCCCTCTTTCAATCAAAACTTCAACAACACTATCATGTCCAGACCTCGCTGCACAATGTAATGGAGTTAATAAATCTCTTGTTCTACAATCAATTATAGCTCCTTTATTCAAAACTAATTCACACAATTTAACCCTTCCCCATTTGGCAGCTACGTGAAGTGGACTAGAAAAATTAAAAATGTTTTTTGAATAGAATTTCAAAAATTACCTAATATTATGTCTAGCTTGAAAATTAACATTTGCACCTTTTTCAATTAACAATTGGGCAATATCTAAAATTATTTTTAAAATAATACAATTAAATTTTTAAAAGTCTATATTTTTTAAATATTTGTCCTCATTTATTAAAACGTTTTTGTTAATTTAGTAAGCTACTAATAGGGCTACAAACAGGATATTATTAAAGTTACCCCTTAATTATAAGTAGGGTTGACGGCGCCGTTCTACGGCTTATATAAGGTGACCTTTTGGCAAAGTTCAATGATTTTTTGACCTTTTAGAAAAATATGATTCCAGCCTTATTGGCGTTATGTGGCTTTACCTTATTGGCATTATAAATATTGGCATTATATGGTATTGATATGATGTGTTTTTTGCCCTTATTGGCATTTTTTATTTTTTTGTCGGTACACGACGAATGGGCGCGGCCGAATGGGCGCGGACGAATGGGCGCGGCCGAATGGGCGCCGAGACGAATGGGCGCGGGACGTTTGGGCGCCCGAAATTATTTTTTCCTAGAAATTTTTTTCTGATTTTTCTGTTCTGATTTTTTCTTCTGATTTTCTGTTCTGATTTTTTCTTCTGATTTTTTTGTTCTGATTTTTTTCTTCTGATTTTTTTGTTCTGATTTTTCTGTTCTGATTTTTCTGATTTTTTTGTTTGATTTTTTCTTATCCAAAATTTTCTTATCTTCTTATCCAGAACTATATCCAAAAATCAGAAGAAAAAATCAGAACAAAAAAATCGGAAGAAAAAATCAGAACAGAAAATCAGAAGAAAAAATCAAACAAAAAAATCAGAAGAAAAAAATCAGAACAAAAAAATCAGAAGAAAAAATCAGAACAGAAAATCAGAAGAAAAAATGGCTGTAGTGTAGTGTACCGGTGGTAAAAGTTCGGGACGTGACATATGTCATTCGATTCGTCTCGACGAGCTGAGTCGAACGGTACCACTCCCCATTTTAGGAAATAATTCTGGACCGAGTTATAGGTCCCGGAAAATCGAAAAACCAAAGGGGGGAGTAAGCTCGATTTTGGGGTGAAAAATTCGAATATGCAAATTATACCTCATTCGAAAGAGCTCCTCGAGCTGAGTCGAATGACACCAAAATCAGCTTGATTGAACAAGTTTGAGTCGAGATATAGGGCTCAAAATGGTCAAAAACCATAGGGGGGATTTTGGGGTTAAAAATTCGATTCTACAAATGTTAGCTCATTCGAGAGAGCTTGTCGAGCTGAATCGAATGACACCAAAACCATCTTGATTGCACAAGTTTTGACAAAGTTACGATAGAAAAACTACCAACATAAACCTATGGGTCGTCGGCGAGGCGCTTGTGCAAGATATCTCGGCTTGTGCAAGATATCTCGACTCAAACTTGTTCAATCAAGCTGATTTTGGTGTCATTCGACTCAGCTCGAGGAGCTCTTTCGAATGAGGTATAATTTGCATATTCGAATTTTTCACCCCAAAATCGAGCTTACTCCCCCTATGGTTTTTCGATTTTCAGGGACCTATAACTCGGTCCAGAATTATTTCCTAAAATGGGGAGTGGTACCGTTCGACTCAGCTCGTCGAGACGAATCGAATGACATATGTCACGTCCCGAACTTTTACCACCGGTACACTACACTATATCCGAAAAAATCAGAACAGAAAAATCAGAAGAAAAAATCAGAACAAAAAAATCAGAAGAAAAAATCAGAACAGAAAAATCAGAACAAAAAAATCAGAAGAAAAAATCAGAACAGAAAAATCAGAAAAAAATTTCTAGGAAAAAATAATTTCGGGCGCCCAAACGTCCCGCGCCCATTCGTCTCGGCGCCCATTCGGACGCGCCCATTAGTCCTGCTCCGTTTTTTTGTGTTTATTTTTGCCCAAGAATGGTAAAAATCTCTTAAAAATGGCTCAATGATAAATATGGAAATGAATGTCCTCATTTTTGAAAGTAACCAGGTCGGAAAGTGTGTTTTTTGTGTGTTTCATACCCCAAGCAATCCGGGGAAAAATATGGATTTCCATATAATTTCGCACTTTATCTATAATATATATTTAGAAATTTATTTTAAAATTTTTTTTGTAAATTAGTCTTAATTATTATTTTAAATAATTTATTTAATTTTAGTATTTTATACTTTAACAGTTAAATTGTTACTTTAAAATATTTCAATTAAATTCTGAAAATGGATGGAGAAGGATCATCAAATTCTGATTTGGAATCAAAAGTAATTTTTGAAATAATGAAAAAATAAAGTTAAAAAATTTAAGTTAAACCAAAGTAATCATTTGATAAAACTTCAAAATAATTTTATCGACCTTCAAACAAAATTTATGGAAGAGAAGGAAAAGAATTTTAAGCTTGAAAAGAAAATTCTTGAAAATGAATTAAAAGAAATGAAAGAGGTTGAGAATTAAATACAGTAGTAGACATAAAGATAGGGACAAGAGTAATTTAAATGAAAGTTAACTATTTTTCAGTCAAAAAATACGTTCTATATAGCAATCGAAAGCTCTATTCGTATCTCAGTTGACATGTTTCTGCATTTTTCATGAAAATGAAAAGTGGCCGAGATAATCCGGATCTACCGGATATACCAAATCCCATATCCTCGGAAAAATTTTTCTGAAAAAATTTGACAAACCCATTTGATAAAGCATATTTTTCTGAGTATTTTCCACGAAACCGCTTAGAAATATCTTTTTCCAGTCCAGAGATATGATTTTTTGAAAATCGCATTTTTCACTTAAAAATTGAATTTTTTGCAAAAATAGGTTAAAAATGCGATTTTCAAAAAATCATATCTCTGGACCGGACAAAGATATTTTTAAGCGGTTTTGTGGAAAATACTCACAAAAATATGCTTTATCAAATGGGTTTGTCAAATTTTTTCAGAAAAATTTTTCCGAGGATATGGGATTTGGTATATCCGGTAGATCCGCATTATCTCGACCAACTTTCGATTTCATGAAAAATGCAGAAACATGTCAACTGAGATACGAATAGAGCTTTCGATTGCTATATAGAACGTATTTTTTTAATGAAAAATTAAGAATTTAAATTTAAATTACTCTTGTCCCTATCTTTATGTCGACGACTGTATGTACTATTTTTAATATATAATTTTAGAAAAATCAAAAACTCGAGTCTGATCTTAAATTGGAAAAATTAAATAAAGTTACTTGTAGATTAGTGGTTAGTTTAATTTTAAAAAATGATTAATTATGTAATATTTTAAGAATTTTGTTGAAAATAAAAATAAATGGAAATATATTTCTAAAAATGATGAATGTTGTGAAAATAATTGTATAAATACAAACAATCCAGTTGGAACTTGTATTGAGGAAAATGGATTTATTAATTTAATTAATGATGAATATATTAGATACTATAATTGTGTGGAGGGGAAAGGTTAAATTAAAATTTTGGAATTAATTTTTGTAAATATTTTAGGGGAAGATATAGAAGCTATTGTTCTTGCTGAAGATTTATTTGAAAGGCCTCAAAATTGTTTCAATTATTCTTTATTTTATTTTGAAATTAAATGTAAAATGGAAAGAGAATTAAATAATTGTTTAAATTGGATGGTTATTGGTGTTGCTAATAATACTAAATGGTTTAGATTTGTTGCAAGAAAGTGTACTATTACAAATGAAAAAGATGAAGAATTTAAACTTCCAACATTCTCTTGGAATGATAATGATGTTTTTGGGTGTGGATTAGTTTATCCTCCAACTAATAAAATATCCGAAGAATTTCCTTACATTTTCTTCACTCAAAATGGAAAACAAATTGGTAAAGATAAAATTTAAATATATTTTTAAATTTAATTTTTAAGGAAAAGCTTTATTGTTGAAGGACAACTTTAATTATTATTGGCCATATGTTGTATTAAGATGTTGTTCAGTTGAAACAAACTTTGGAAATAATTTGGAGGCAAAGCCTTTTATTTATGATATTTCGAAACATTTTGTTTGTAAGGAATTTTATTGAAATTTTGTATTGAAGTTGTGGATTTTTCGATACTTTTATTATTTTTTCTTGATAAAATTTTGTTAATTTTTAAAAGTTTTTGTTAAGATGATTTGAAGGAGATAGAAAGAGTATTTATGTATTATTATTATCTTGAACCTTAATTTTATTCTTATAAAGTGATACCATATTTTTAATGGTCATACGACACTTGCAGATATGACATTTGCAGACCCGACATTTGCAGACGACTTTTGCAGATCGACATTTGCAGATACCGACACTTGCAGATATGACACTTGCAGATCAGACATTTGCAGATCCGACTTTTGCAGATATTAATTTTTGAAAAAAATTTAAAAATCTTAAATAATCAAAGGAAATAGTATAGTATACCGGTGGAAAGGTTTTGATATAAGACCCATGCCAATTCGTCTCGACGAGCTGAGTCGAACGGCACCATTCTTTTTTCCGGAAATTCTCTTTTTTCCGGAGGTTCAAAATGTTCAACGTAGAACTATGGAGCGTCGGCGAGGCGCTTGTGCAAAACTCCGCGCTTCGCGCGGGGTTTTGTCAACGGTCGCTGGGCTCAACGGTCGCTGGGCTCAACGGTCGCTGGGCTCAACGGTCGCTGGGCTCAACGGTCGTTGTCAACGGTCGCTGGGCTCTGGGCTCGTAACATGATCCTATTCCTATCATCGATGAGATGGGCATCCCAGGATTCCTCCGCAGCAGCAAACACTCCACGGTGTATAGGTATGGTAAAGAAGAGAGCGAAATGGGTCTAATCTGCAAAAGTCGGATCTGCAAATGTCTGATCTGCAAGTGTCATATCTGCAAGTGTCGGTATCTGCAAATGTCGGGTCTGCAAAAGTCGCGTCTGCAAGTGTCGGGTCTGCAAATGTCATATCTGCAAGTGTCGTGACACGTTTTTAATATTGAGTCAAGTAATAATCCAAATGATTGAAATGGGATCATTGTATATTGAAAAGGAAATAGGGAACCCAATGAAATTTTAATTCTGGACGTCGAGTTAAGAGGATGGGATAGCGAGATATTTGATAGGCTTAAGGAAAGCCATATTCCAAAAGGTGTCAGGAGAGACCATAAGAGGGTTAGTACAAGTGATTTTTTAAAATTACCAGCATTTCCATAATGTGCAGCAATATGTAAAGGAGTAAATCCACTTTTTGAAGTTACCTAAATAATTAATTATATTTTCAAAAAAAATAATTTCTTTTACATTTGGATTTTGTTCATTTTGTAAAAGTAAGGAAGCTGCTCGAGTATCTAAATTTAAATAAAAATTATCTAATTATTTATTTAAATAACCAAACCATCTTTTTTAGCAGCAATGTGTAATGCTGGAAGTTTTACTTTACTTGTATTGTCATTTTCCTTTAAAATTTTTAAAGTAATGAATTTTTTAAATTAGCAATACCAATAGAAGAGCAACAATTCGATCATGTCCTTGCTGAAGAGCAACAGCCAAAGGAGTAAAACCATCCTAGAAAATGAAAAAAATTATGAAAGAACAAAAGTTATCCTAATAATATTCTTAATATTTTTAATTTATTTTTCAACTAAATTTTTAATTCCTTCCTAATTTATCCCTTATCTAATCAAATCTAGATGAAAGAAGATTTAAATAAATTAATTTACTTCTGTAGCAAGTGCTTGATTAGCACCATGTGCAAGCAAATAACGAACAACAACTTCATGGTTTTCTTGTGCAGACATATATAGAGGAGTAAATCCATTTAATGATTGGGCATTTACATTAGCACCGTGTTCAACCAAAATTGTTACAATTATATCTTGACCTGTTTAAAATAACAAATTTTGCAGAATTAAACAATTTTTTTCAAAATCCGTAAAAGGATTTATATTTAGGAAATTAAAATAGTACAAATATTGTACTTCCTATTGGCCGTCCATTAAATTTTTTAAATTGTTCTTCTGGAGGGGATAAATGTAATATTCATCCTTCCTATTAGAGACTCTCCTTGATCATAATTAACTCTATAAATTACGAAAAACACTTGCGGACAGACAAAATATTTGCGGACTGGCACTTTTTGTAGTGGTTTTATTTGACGGAACAAAAAATGGAAGGAGGGCTAATTTATTGTTAAATACCTCCCACTTATACATATTAAAATATTTTCTAAATTTTAATCATTGTTTTACCGGCTAAAGAAGCTATATGTAAAGCAGTATTTCCCTTTCTAGTACTCGCATCAACAACGGCTCCTCTTCTCAATAATTCTCTAACAACTTCATTATGCCCTTCTTTCGATGCCAAATGCAAAGCATTTAATCCATTAGAATTGCAAGTATTTATATCTACACCTGTACGGAGAAAATCGAGGACATTTTCTAAATTGCCTGCACGGGCAGCTCGCAAAAACATTGCATTTTGATCATTTCGAATTGGCTGTTTTTTGGGGAATTTAGATAAGAGATTTTGATTTTTAAGGATTTAAATTAATTTTTAAGAGAATTTTTTGTTAAAATATTTTGGGTAAATTTAGAAATTATTTATTGGTGCAAGGGAGAATTTTTGGAATTTTCATTGTATATTTATTGAATTCCAAAGAAATTATTTAAAAATTTTCCAAAAATATTTAAATAATTAACTTTAATTTTTCCAAACATTTTTTAGAATTTTTTTAATTAAAATTATTTTCAAAATAAAAATTTCCCTATGTAAACCTTGGTAGGTTGTGGGGGTTGTTCAGAAGACTGTTCCTGCTCTCCTGATGCACTGTCAATAGTCATTTTCGATCGATTCTATTTTTTTTTGAAATTTTTATTAATTTATATTATTATTTTCATCTGATAAAATTAAAAATTAAAGTTTAAATAAATTAAAACATTTTTAAAAATTTGTAAAGGGGGCAATTTACAGTTTGGACAATTCACCGATTTTTTAATTCTTATTTTGAAAGTAAATTTAAGGATTATACAAAAGTCAGCAAAATATGACAAAAAAATTTTGTGAAAATATATTTAATAATAATACTTTTTTAATTAATATCTGTTAGTGATTTATGTCAATGTACACCGTAATTAAGGATAAATTCGCCTTAAACAGCTTTTAAGTAATAATGTTTGTAATAAAATATTTAAACATTTTTAAAAAGCTTTAAAAAACAAGCAAATAAATTATTTAACAATTATTTTTAAACAATTATCTCCCCAAAAAAGAAATTAATCATTCTTTTTTTAGGAAAAAAAATAATTATAAAATTGTATATTTCCTGTCATGAAAATGACAAGAAAAATGCTTACATTTTTTCGTATATTTCAAAATATTTATTGAATGCAACTGCAAGTGTATATAGAAAATAACAAAAATATGTAGAGGAAGGAAAGTGAATGAAGAATGAGGGAATTGACTGAGGGATAAAACAAAAATGTGGGCCTAGTATTGAGAGAAGAACACAGGCAGCATTTCAAGGCCATTTGGGAAAAGACAAATTTTTAAACAAATAATGATGGTTAGATTGAGTCTCCTAAAATTATTCTTTTTTTCTTTAAAAAATTATTTTAATAATTTTAAAATCTTGGATGGAAGGGAGAATGTTTTGGGAGAAATTTCTTTAAAAAAGTAAAACTTGATCGTATAAAAAATTGCCAAATGAGCACCTAAGTTAAAAAAATTGCTTGGAAATTTAGGAAAAAATAATTATTGAAGTAAAAGATCAAATATCAAAATTTTCTTAAAGTATTCTCAACTATAGTGGTAAAAAAATTTGGTAAAAAAAATTCTGCAAATTGAAAGGCTGATAATAATATTTTTTGTTATATACCAAAAGCAATTGCCAAAATGTTTTAATTAAAAAACAAATAAAACAAAAGTAAAACAATTTTTTAATTTAAATACATATTAAGAATATTTGAACGAAATTTTACAGTTCTAGGTGCCTGAATTTAAGAAATTTATAAATGCGTGCCAAAATGTTTCCGCGCCTAATGTCCCTATTAATAGCACAATTAAAATGTTTAGAAGCAGCCTTTCCATTTGAAGAATAAAGGGCATGCTAAATAATAGTAAAAATAAAAATATATAAAAAAATTCTTAACATTGGTTTGTGGCTACTCACATTTTAAGCTTTAAAAAGATCGATTTTGTGTCCCCCTTTAGCGCTTTTTACCCTTTCCTTCCTTTATTTTGCCCTATTTTTGCCTAGCTACTTGTACACATTTTTACTTTAGAATATTTCCTTTCCCCTTTTCGCTATTTTCTCCCCTATTTTTAGTATTTTTACGAGAAATCTGTGGCGGAAAAGGTTTTTGTTATATACCAAAAACAGTTCTTCTTCGGCTTCCACTAAACAATTACTAATTTAAGAGAGAAAATCCTTTTGTGGGGAAATGAGGGAGAAAGGAAATTTTCTTTATTTAAAAGGGAGATATTGACAGCTAAAATGGGCACAGCTGCAAAATACATGTATAAAATATGTACATTATAAGAATTAAAAAATATATATATTAAGGGGAAGGAAGCATCTTTTTAATTAAATGGACTTTAAAATATAAAAATGTAACAGAAATAATATGTATGTTGTCAGTTCGGAGCCGAGGATTTTTCGAATTGGTTTGGATATCCGAAGATAAGTCGAATTTCGTCACCTCTCTGGCATCTAACATTTTAGCAGAAGTGTCAAATTGGGCGAAATTACAGAAAAAATCTGTCACTAACTTTAAAGGTGATATACAAATGCGAAATGGAAAAATATTTTTAGAACCGTTTTATTCTCGTAAAAATTTGTTTTTTTTAATTTGTGTTTATAAAATATTTATAAAATTTTATTTTTAAATTAATGCAAATTTTAGAAAATAAATTTATTTAAAAATCAAAATAAAAAATATATAAATTCTAAAAAAAATTACAAAAAAAGACCCGTTTTTTAAAATTAATTTGAGCTATCATAAAACCGGCTAATTATTTTATATTTTTAATATTCAGCAAATGCTGTGATCCATTATATCAGTTAATTCCAAATTGTCAATTTGTACATTTGCCCTACCCTTGCCATCTAGTCTGGCAATTAAATAAAGTTTTCGATCTGTTGGCAATACCTTTGAAAATTAAAGAAAAAATATTATTACAGTTTTACTCAATTAATTACTCTGGATAATTATTATTTGACTCGTTTAAGGGAGTATCTGAGGGAGGACATTTAACAGAGTAATATGTATGATAGAAACTATGAATTTAGTGTCGTTAGAAGTTAATGTCATTACGCTATAAGCCTACAAATAGGCTTCCGTCATTGGGTCATAATTTTGGCTGATTTCTTCGTGTACCGGACACCATAGCATCGACCATGTCGAATTGCATTGAACCGTGCTATGACCTCCAAGATTCAAAATTTAAGACGAGGTTATAACTGTTTGGAGTGGGCTTGAGGCAGTTGGGGTGTTCCCATAAAAAGAAATTGAATAAAAATACCTCAATAAAATCATGCTTCCACCCAAACGTCTCTCCATCCGCCGAAATTATAAAACACGAAGAAAGATCACGCATTACACTATCTTGACAAAAATGTAACTTTGCAGGTCCTTTACTAACAAAATAATCAAAATGTAGCCTAGCAGGTGTATTTAAATGGAATATTGGAGATTCTAATATTGCTACTTTACTTCTAGTAAATAAGACAGTAAATGCACTGTTGTTATAAGCACGGAACATTGAAACAGAAGCAGCAACTCGACTAGAGGTATAAAGGCACATACTTCCATCACGTTCAAAATCACATTTTAAGAGACGGCAAACATCTAAAAAATTTTAAAAAGGATAAAGTAAGGACCTAATTAGTCCCTCTATTGTCCCCAAATTTAAATTCCTGCTAATCCTTAGTTCTGTTTCTAAACTGTCAAACTCCTGCGGAAGACCCCTTCTCGCTAATTTAATAGAAACTCACTTTCATCGGGTATTTCATAAAAATCTTGTGGTTTTTCTGCATCGTTAAAAGCTCTGTTTTGTTGAGAAACAATCCTTTCTCCTTTGTGTGTAAATCCGCTACTTCCTCTCAAACTATTCTTGACTCCAAAAGCAATATTATTTAATGATGGACAGATTTCACCCTAAACAAAATTTTCAATCATTCGATAAACAAAAATATATTGCCTGAAATTTCAAATCATCTATAGCAATAAGCCCTCCACCATTCTCACCAATAGTTTCAGCACGGAGAGCAAGGCGGATAGGTTCATCTAATCGAGGAACTTCCACTAGAATCTGTCAACAAAAAAATTCTAAAAGAATTTTTTCCAATTCACTACCTCATCCCCTTCTTCAGTCAATTTTCTTTCTCCATCATTTCCCCCAACATTTTGGCAATCCAAAACCTCTAAAGAATCTGCTCTAATAATACAGACATTCAATTTAATTCCATTTCCACTTCCCCAACTTCGAAAAGATAAAGTTCCACTATTTCCGTTTGTATTGGTTATAGAGGGAAGTGTACAGAGAATACGTTCAGATAAGAGTATTGCAGATTTATTATGAGAATCGAGGCGAGCTAAAGCTACATCTCCAACTAAAGTAATAAATTATTAAGAAAATAGGTGAGAAAAATTTTAAAGTTTTATTTTTTGGAATAGCCATATTGAAAAGAGGCGATGGAGCCCCCAACGAATCTCATTTCGCTCACAGTTTTAGATTTATTTTGAAAATTTTAGAAAATATTTTTCTTCAACAACTACCTGGAATAAGAATATCCTCGCTCGTTTTTGTATTTTTAGCACTACTTAAAATTCCAATTTCCCATTGAGACATTCCATCATTTAATTTTTCTAGATTGGCCCATTGACAATTTAATGCACGTTTGGAGAAATCACAAGTTAAGTCCTCAAAAAATTTTTTATACAAAAATTTTTTTAATTCCAAAGGACTTTATTTTTAAAACCCATTTTTATCAACAAAAGTTGAATCATAAATTTTGGATTTTCAAAAAATTTTCTATTTTCACAAACTAATCCCCTAAAAACAATTTTATTTTTTGCGGATAAAGACCAATTATTCCCTCTCTCATTCCCTCACATTTTACCTTAGCAGAATGTATTGGCCTATTTAAAAGAGTATTAAGCATTTGGGCAGTAAACATCCCTCCATCAGATAACCATCCTTTATGTGCAGCAATATCAGCACCTAATTGGCCACAATAAGCTGAGGAATGATCTGTAACCATTTCTATATCATCTAATAAAACAAAGTTGTCAAAATCTTTGTTGACGCTTTGAACTTGGAATACAAACTAAGAAAATTAAAAATAAATTTTTAAAATATTTTAAATTTTTTTTGTTTCTCTTAATTCTCAGAAGAAAATTCTTCAAAGACCGAAAATGCCAAGAAATTTGGACATTGTTAAATAACATTAAGACAATGGTAAATCACGTGGGTTTCTTAGTGTCGTTTTACAAATAACTTTTGGTTGCCTAATTAAATGAAACTAATTATTAATTATAATTATTGCTAATTATTGAATAATTAAGTTATTGAAATAAATTTAATTATTACCTAACCTAATTAATGCCTAATTAAAGGTCAAATGACATTTAACTCGTTCTACGGACCAAGTACCATCTCTAAGGATTGAATATTGCAATTATGACAGTTGTGGCCTTGAATAATTTTTATATCAGGACATAAATTGGGCACTCTATACAGGGATGCAAACCCTAATAATAACTTTTATTCTCTAATCCAAAGGATAAAATACTTTTAAATCCAAAAATATTAAATAAACACTTTTTTACCATAAATTCTGTATTTTGAGGGGGTGTTTGAAATTGTTGTTGAACAATTGCTGGGGATGTACCAACAGGTACTTGTTGACATTTTCCTTCAATTTGTTGCATTGAATGTCTTTCAAATAAACACAAATTTAATTTAATTCCTTTTGTTGACCAAATTCTTTTTAAAAAAGAAGGAAATTTTTGAATTTTTTTGTTAATTTTACCTAAATTGTAAAATAATATTTGTAGAACCCGGACATTTTATTGGGTCAGAAGCTAACATTCGAAAAGCTTTTGTTGTATCACTAAGTTCTAAAGTGCTTGCATCGTGTAAATCTTTTGAGGAAATTATGTTTGTATGTTGTGGCATATCTAAATTTTAATTTTGAAAAATTTTAAAAATATAAGGAATTTGATTGAAGCCTGTAAAGCTTACATTTATAACAATAAAATTATAAGTAGATATTATCTAACTACTAAAGAAGTTTTTTTTAACTTTATCTAAAAGTATTTAAATTTATATCAAAAGATGTTTAAAGAATCATTAACTTTTCAGGCGATAACTTAAATTAAATGAAAAAATTCTAAAATTTTTAGAATTGTTAATAACATTTTATTAATTAAAGCACAAAATTTCATTGTTCTAGGTGCTCATTTAGCAAGGTTACTAGATTCGATAAAATCAAGGCTTACAAAGCTTTGTGAGCTTAAAATAAACATTTAAAGAAAAATATTTACCAGTTTGTTCCTCAATATATAAAAAAGCAGCAGGTAAATTAGGTTGTATATCAGTCCCAGTTTCGTTAAAAAGAATTAATGGGGGAAGTATTCCAATAGCTCTACGCCAAATCTTTTTTTAAAAAAATAAAAATTAGACTTTTATTTATTTATTTACCCCATGTTCTCCATATCCCATATTTCTCCACCTACAATTTTCGTCAAATTCTGTACAAGTTAGAGAAGAAGGTTTATCAACAGGTTCGCCTTTAGTTGAACTTGATATAAGCCTAAAAATAATTATTTTTTAAATAAAAATAGAGCAACGATACAATTTTTACAGTAAATGCCTAGTAAAATTAAAGACAATTTTATTGTTAATAATACCCAAGAATTTTTAAGTACCCAATATAGGGTATGGCCAAAATAAAAATCCGTACAAACAAAAACCCTGTCCTTTTCTTTCTCTTGTTTGACCACCCACAAAAGCTTGTTTTGGAAGGAAAAGGTTAGAAGAACCAAAAATATTATTTAAAAAAGAGTCTACAAAATAATTAATTTTTATTAATTTTTCACCTTTCAGAATGAAAGTCTGGTCCAAAATCAACTAAACAAAAATTATAAATTTTAAATTAAATTCTCTTCAAAACCCACTCGAAACTCTACAAAATTCAGCTTCATAAAATAAATTATCTAATAAAACAAAGGATCCCTCTGTATTCCGCATATCATAAGCTCTAAGTCCAATATGGAAAGGATGGTCGAGAGGGGGAAGTATTGCTGTACTACAAGAAAAATGAATTTTTTAAATAAAAAAATAATCATTTACCATTCAGTGTTTATATGGACAGTTCCACAGTCTATATGGGGCTTTTCAGGTAAAATATGCAAAGATTTTCCCTAAAATTATGAAAAATAAAATTAATTTTATTATAGTAGTTAGTAAAGCCTGACTTTTAAATAAAAAAAAGACAAGGCAGACTCTCTGAAAAATTATCAAACAGTAAGGAAGATCATGATTGAAGGAAGATTGGCAGAAGGGAAACTTATTCGGATATCCGGCATACGACTCAAAAATATTGTAGGATTTAATGCTTTTCCCAGGCGATATTGAGTATTGAGCTTGGATATCTGTCTCATTTCACATCAGATTATCATACTAGTCTAAAATGAGTAACCCCGTATATCGAATGTGACATTCACTGTTGGCCTATTTCTCATCTTCTCCAAACTTGGGATTGGAATGGGAAATTGGAAGAATACACTTGAAAAAATGGGATCATGGATATGTACACTAGTGCCACTATTATAATATTAACTCAAAATTCCACAAAATTATTTATACCTCATCTCGTTCTTCAAGCATTATAACCTCCAATCTAGCACCATTATAAACCCAAAACCTTTAAAAAATTTAATAAATTATTTTATTTTCGATGGATGTACAGACGTAAAAGTTAATTTTCCAGTTGTATTTTGACATTTAATTGGATGACTAATTAGTATAGCTGTTTGTTCTTGTCTTTTCTTATCTCCAACAAGCAGTAATTGATCACCTAATTAAATAAATATTCAACCGGGCTTTATAAAACTATAATATAGCGTTTTAATTTTATAAATCTCCACTTGGAGTTCTTCCAGAATTTTTACTCTTTTTACTAGAAATTTTAATAGAGAGGCGTTTAATAACGAAAAGGTGTGTCTTTAGAGGTTAAAAAGAATATTTTAAACAGTAATCAATCGTCTCACCTACACGCACTCTTGAAGGACCCGGCCTAACCTGAAGCATCTGAAAAATCGAGAAATTTTTATATTTTAAACAGTATCGTCTTTCACTTGCCGGAAATTCAGTATAATCCTCCTTCCTAAATAAATGAAAGTCTAATGTATCAAATCCAGGTTTTCGAAGATTCCTCCATCTGCCTATAAAAATTATTTTTAAATTTATTTTAAATATAAAATCACAGTACATTTGTCTGGGTTAGAGAAATCACAATTTAAATCACTTGAATGCCGCAAAAATCGAGCTTGTTGTTCTGATAAGAAATAACAACATTTAAATTTAAAATAATCTAAAATACCATCATCCATCCTTTCCAACCCTCTAGGCCTCCATTCAATGCCTAAATATTGTCTCAAACGGGCTCTCTCATTTTCATAGCCAGGCATACAAGAATTACCTAGAAAATGGGTATTTTGCCTAATAAGTTTAATTTTCAAAGTTCAATAACCTGGCCTAATTAAAATGAAAAAGGACAAGAGACTGTAAAATAAAGGGAATTTCAACATTTTTGTATTTTTAAAAATCGTAGTTTTTGATGTTTGCCTTCTCTCATAATTATTATTTTTTTGCCTTTTACAATTAAAATGTAAAATATTTGAACTACACTGTTGTGATTCTTCATGTTGTTGGAATGATCTCTTTTGCATTAAAGTGCAAATGAATTTTTTAATGATTTACTTCTTTTTTAGGTACTTTATTAATATCCCGCCCCCCACCCCTATTTGAGTCTCAGATTAATTTTACATTTTATTTTTCCTGCCTCGAAATGGTCAATTTTCCTTCTTATAAATGCTTTTTTGCGGTTGCCGTCTATTTTTCCTTCCTAGTACTTACCTTTTACCTTCAATGTTTGAAGGAAAAATGATTGACAGTAAAAGAAGGGAAATTAATCTGAGACTCAAATAGGGGTGGGGGGCGGGATATTAATAAAGTACCCTTTTTTAAAGATTTTATTTTGAAATATCTACAAAGATAAATTTATGGGTTTCAAGGAGAAACCTCGCCTTTAACGAGAGTTTACTTTTGTGGGATAGTGGATGAGAGAACTGGGTTTTTAAAAATGATCAAGAATGATCCCATCCAGAAAATTTTTTCAACTTACGGGCCTGGGTGGGACCATTAGCAAAAACTACAATCCACATGGATAAAGGTTCAAGCCTTGGAAAAAGACATAATTTTTTCTTATAATTCATTAAGAAAAATTAAATTAAAAGTTCTTATCTATAAAAATTCGCCAAAAACATTTAGATGAAGAAAATAAGAAAAACTAATAATTACATGCTTAATATCATTTGTAAATACATAGATATCAACTTTCAATTAAAGAGATGACAAAAAGAGAGGAACAAAGTTTTGGCGACTTTTAGCATTTAAGCATTTTTATTGGGGGATAGAGGGGGGGGTGATCGCGGCAATTTGCCCGGAGCAATCCTGACGCGTTTTTATTTGGAGAATGAAAAAAAACAAAAAAGATCGCTATCAGTCTCGACGATTGTTTTTCGCTTGGAGAAAGACGGAAATGGCAGAAGAGTGAAAGCGCACCCCGTTGATTGATCCGAGGAACGAATTTTATTTTTATTTGTCTATTGTCTTCTTTATTCGATTGAGCGAATAAAAGGATTACATATTTATAAATTAAAGCTATGCCAACAACAAAAAAAAGTAACGAATCTTTTTGCTAATTTAATTGTCAATGAGAAGAAGAAATTGGTAAAAATTGAAAAGCATCCCTATTTCCCCACGCCGAGGAAAGAAAACCAAGGGACTTAAGAAAATTTGATTGTAAAGGGATAAAGGAATCAACGTTCAGAAATAGTAGTAAAAGTATAGGAATATTCAAGAGTTCATTAAAAAACTAATTTTACTTTTAAAAGAAAGTGAAAGATGTAATCTCAGTCCATTTTTGGTCAATTCTGTGACTAAAATGCTTAAAGTAAACAAATCAAACTCTTTCTCTCCAAACTCATCCAAAAACTTTCCGTAATATCCATTTATAATAACAAGCACTTTTCCTTATTACATATTTTTCCTTTTATTAAATTTCTCTCATTTACCGATCCCTTTTTAAGAAATTCTCCAAACTCTTTTTTTTATTTAAACCCAAAATCCTGTTTGCTAATATTTTTTTCTCGCTCATTTGTAACCGGCAATTTCCGAAAATATTGTAGACATATTCTATTACGTTTTTACTATTTAATTATAAACGTTCTTTGTAATATATATTGTCAGGTTTTTAACACTTTTTGTAATTTACAATGAGAAGAAAAGAGAAAGGAAATTACATGAAAACATTCCCAATCAAATTAACAAATAAATGGGGGTAGGGGGAGGGGGGATTGAACAATACTTATAGAGAAATGTCAATTTTATACGAAAATATTTTTAAGTGGAGAACATCATTAAAATTACTTTTTAGAGAATAAAATACAACGGGCGTGAGGACAATTAAGTACAAAACCAAACATCCATATTTACTATAATATTTAAAAATGTTCCAGGCAAATCCGTTTTACTTTCTGACATGGAAAGAAGTCAGAAAAATTTTAATGGAAAGCTGAGGGAATTTTTATATTTTCATTGAAATTATAATAGAGCCCGGACTGGGAGGGTCGTAAGAGAAGCGAGATCGTTATCTCAAGAAAACTCGATCTCGTTAACCGAGATTTTTGACTGCGATTTCGTCTCGATCCTGGCTCTAGTTTTGACTGCAGCCTTAATTTCAGGTAGCTATTTCTAATTTCTTTCTAAAAATTAAACCGATTCAATATTTCTTTTATCGAATCAGTGCAATTTTCCGAAAATTTAATTAAATTCTTAGCCAAAACAAAAAAAAACGTTAAATTTATTTTTACCAATGTTTCTGCCTGGAAATATGTTCAATTTTATTTAAAATATACTCCCCTCCTCGTTTTCCAAAATATTATCCATATTTATATTTTTCCTTATTCTTAATTACTTCCATTTGCATAAAGTTTTGTCCATTGCTGAGCTGTGTGAATAGCCTCTACTTCATTGTTTTTCCATTGCTCGGCAACATCGCTAAATTATTTAGGTTTTTATAAATTGTCATTATAATATTTAACATGAAATAACCAATAGATAAAGTTAGTAATTTAATAAGATGGGTCTGTGAGTCTAGAGTTTGTATAGAGTTAAAACGTAAAGTCTAAAAAAAACCCACACCAGGGAACATATTTACTACAAAATTTATTTTGGTATCGTTCGATAGAGGAACCGACCCTCTACATGGTACCAAAAAATACCATTATCAAAGGGAGCTTAATCCTAATAATTTTAATTAACGTAACAAAAAGATATTAAGGTTGTTAAGGAGATTATAAAAAATTGAAAACTGACGCAGCTAGCGGATCATCAGGATTTGGTGCTGAAAGCAAAGCTTGTATAGAAAGGAGAACAGTACGAATTTGCAAAGCTGGTGACCATTTGTCTAATAATCTTTATTTAATTTTAAAAGTCGAAAAAAGTAAACCTTTAAGAATGTCGAGACAAATCCGGCCAAGCTTGTCAATATTTGGATGATAAATCTTTAAAAAATGGTAAATATAAAAAATCTAGAAAAGAAACTTCGGTTATCGAATAAACCGAAAAGTCCTTGGTTTTCCAGCAGTCGCAAATATATAATCGAACTAATTATATTTAAATTTTAGGATACCTAAGAATTCGTTAAGAAGATTGAATAGTAACAATTAAGGTTCACATTAGCCCTATTTACTTATATTACCTTTGTCATGAAGCGCACTTTGGGAGCGGCCATAGGATATTCTTCTGGTAAAAACAGTTCCAATTTGAAAACACCACCTTAAAACAAAAATTAAAAATTTCTTTCGAAAAATTAATCAAAAACCTGCAAAAGGACTCGAATCTGGTCCTGCAATAATAACATGAAAGTATCGAGCATTAGCCTCATCTGGAATTGCACTGATACCCGGAACTGGATCCTTAAATGGGAATTTGTGCTTTATGTGTATAAACCCTCCGCTGAATTTGTTACGGTGCATTTTAGACAAAATTAAATATTCGCTCTACTCACAAGGGAACATATGTTACTGTGAGTACGAATTTGATAAATTTTTTGGTACCATGCGAAAGAGGACCCTCGATTTACTCTTGTAGTTTGCGGGTTTTCTTGCAAAATTAGTTTGGGCCGAGTTCTGGCCGTTCAAAGTTTCAGTCCTTGGGATTGATTGAGTATAAGCAAGAGGGAAAATAAGCGCGCTATAACTTTTTTTTCACTTCTCTGCGTTCTTCACATTATTTTATAAAGAGGAAAAAAGAATGCAAGAGTCGCGAGGAAAAAAGAAGGGAGAAAATGTCAGACACAATAATCAAAGAGAAGGGGCGTGGCTTGTTCTTTGAGGATGAAAAATAAGAGAGAAAAGGAAAATGAGCGAACTATGTCCTTTTTTCACTCTCTCTGCTTTCTTTATATTGATTTACAACAATGAGAGAGAACGCAAGAGGCGCGAAGGAAAAAAAAGGGAGGAAAAATGTTAGACACTAAATAAAGAGAAGATGGGTGTGTCCGTTTTTTGAGTATGAAAAATAAGAGAGAAATTGTTTTCTTACCCTATAACTCCTGACTCTAGCGGTCTAACTTTGAACGGCCATAACTCGGCCCAAACTAATTTTGCAAGAAAACCCGCACATAACAATAGTAAATCGAGGGTCCTCTATCGAATGGTACCAGAAAATTTATCAAATTCGTACTCACAGTAACATATGTTCCCTTGTCAGTACATCCGAGTTGGCAGATTTCATATCTTTACTAAGGTTGGTCGGATCCCCGAAAATTTCCAACTATACGTCTTTAATTCTTACAAAAAATAAAAACCTGTAACAACCGTTGTGTCTCTTTGGCTATACGTCTAGGCAGCGCCATAAGAAATAAATTTTCTGTCAATGCCCGTGAGTCAAATGCTAATTAATATTAGTAAATGATTCTAAACTTTTCTAGTTAGTATACGAAAATGAAACGATTTTAATAATAAATAAAAAGAATGCGATTTAACTAATTTTACACAAATAAACCATATAGAATGAAAACAATTTAGAGGATTAAAATGCTTGGAAAAATAATAAATTATACGTTTGAACCAGGGAACGAGCCGACAAGAAAACAAAATTCGCGATTTTCGTGAAATCGGGATTCCAGACCAAAAAACGTCGGGAATTCGCGATTTTCGGGAATCGTGACGGTTCATTCCCTGGTTTGCACATAATCAGGAAATTCCTCAAATATTAAAACCCCAAGATTCGTTATAACAAAAAAAAACGGTTTTTCTTGTTACTTCACAAAAATAGAATAAATCCTCTAATCAAAAAAGGTAAAAAACAAAATTAGAAGTAAAGAAATGGGCATCGTAAAGTAAAAATAATCTAAAAGTCCAAACAAAATAACCCATTTAAAACCAAAATAAATAAAAGAGAAAGACCAAAAATCCAAAAAACAAATTAAAGTTCTCCTTTTGCTTCCTTTTTCGGCATTAATTCACGAATTCGCTGCACAAAATCGACTTTCTCAACACAACCCTTGCAACTATCACCCAATTTGCGCAATAACTCTCTCAACTGTCCAACTCTCATTTTGTCCAAATCCAAACTATCCCAATCGATTGGTTTGTCTTTAAAATAAAAAAATTTTTTAACAGAAAATCTAATAAATAAACCGTATTTCAATGAACAAATCTGAGCATCTTTTGTCTTCAAATCCTTGCAAACTTTAAGAGGAGGCTTCTTATAGGCAAGAGTTTTAACAGCATCTCCAATCATTGAAGCAGATGAATCCTTGTGAGCACCAATATAGAAACACTAAAAAATTTTACAAATTTATGAAAATTAAAAGAAGTTGGGGAAGGGCCAGAATTCACGAAATTTCAATTCATAAACGCGAGTCGACGTTAGTTACTCACTTGGAGTTTACACAGCACCTCCGGCGAAAATTTTGAAAATAGTGGGAGTCAAATAAAATCGGGAAAGAGGGTGTAATTTCGAATAAGCGAATCGAAAAATCTGGATGGAATAAAATGGGTACAACCCAATGTACCGCAGAGCTATAACTCCGTTCAAAATTGTCGAATCCGGGACGTCCTGATACGATTTGAATAAGCTCGTCGAGGCGCATCGAACAATACCAGGAAGTCCCGGATCTGCCCATTTTGAACGAAGTTATAGCTCTGCGGTACCTTTTCCTGCTCCCGAATGAAATATAAATTCCCACAAAAAACGTGGCCATCACTTGACAGAAAATCCAAGAATTAAACTTTAATAATTTACTCACCATTTTATCCTTTCTTTCTTCATCAGAATTCTTTGAATCACGTTTATTATAAACTTCAGAACAATAATCCCACAGATTTTTACGGACAAGCTCGTCATTGACATTTTCCCCCGAAGAATCCACTCTATCCATAACATCTTTCAAAACATCCTCACAGACTAAAAATAAAACTCTAATCGAAAAAAATTAAAAAAAACCTTGGCATTCCTCCTCTTGAGCATTTACACAAAATAAAATAGAAATTAACAATATTGCTGTTAAGGAAAGAAAATTCAATTGAAGGTAGCGAAAATTCCTTGGCAACATCTCTGCCTCCACGAAAAACTAAAAAATAATTTAAAAAAAAAAAAATGAAATTAAAGCCCAGACTTTTAATATTTCCTTTAAAAAATGAAATATTTTACACGCCAATAAACAATCGACAAATAATATTTCACTCGTCACTCTTAACGTTGGGCTACGGAAATATCTTTCGGCGTGAAATATTATGGCCAATTCAACGCTAATGGAAATTGTCAGATAAATAAAGGCACTAAAATAAAAATTTTGTTAATCAAACACAATTCAAAGAATTCAAAAAACATTTAAGATTAAAAATATTTATTTACATTAATTTGTTTAAGGTAAATAAATTAGTATATAAAAAATAAACTAATTATTTATAAATACAATACTATGTATAACCATATTAATACCCCAAATCCAGAACAAAATTTTCGGGCCATAAAACAAAAAAATCTCAACTAGGTCTAGACATCTCTGAACTCTAAATCAGACACTTCTGACCTCTCAACGGGTTCTGACCTTCTAACCCCGTCCCCCAAAAGTTAAAAAACTAAAATTTTCCCTCTCAACCAGAAATTATATTCGAGATTTAGTGGTATTAATATGATTCTATTGTAATAATAAAATTGAGTATAATAAAATTGATATTATAAATATATACAATAGAATACCCGTGAATTAGTTCTAAAAATCTTTTTCTTTAATGAAATGACTTATTTCTAGAAACATTTAATGCTTCAAGCCTTTGTGGAGGTTTCCGAGCAGCGCTAATAGGTCGATTAGCCGATGGATTGTTTTGAGAAGTGCCTCCATTTTTATGCCTTTGGGATTGATCATAAATTGCATCAGCGTAAACTACTCCATTAACTAACATTTGGTTTTTACGTTGTTCTGCTAAAAAAAAAAGATTTTTTTCTAAAATAAATTTTTTAAAATACCAATCATTTTATGTTTTTCAGGGTTGTATTTGTCAAGAATGTTCTGCCGAGTTATTGGCTAAAAATGAAAAAAATATTTTTTTAATTAAAAAATTACCTTAAAGAATTTTTGTACAAAATCATTATCCATACTTTCATCGAGGCGTTTTTTCAATTTGGATTCAGAATCCTCTATGGGTGAGCCGCTATATTTTGATGCTATTGAATCAGATCCACTACCGTTTAATTCTGATGAAATAGCTGGTGATACTAAAAAATAAAAGAAAAATAAAGAGACAATAACTAAACATAATTAGAAATTTTGATAAATTTGAATTGTTGTTACCGTCACTTAAAATTTCCCTATTAAATCTCTTTATTACCTATTTTCTTTATTGCGACTTTTTAATGCTTCCTCCCTCTTACCTGAATTTGGCAGTGCTTGTTGCCGAATACTCAACTCCGGTAATGTCCACCTTTCACCTTCCTCGTCCCAAATAGCTTCTCTTTTTACACGTTCCAAATTCGCATAATTACTTTCCTTTCGAATGGCAGCTTTAAAAATTAGAAAAATAATTTTCAAAATTTTCTTTATTCCCTTACCAGTATTTTCAAGTATTTGCTGAAAAAGTTTCAATTGTTGATCTTGTCTACGTATTGTTTCTAAATAATCTAAACGATCCAACTCAAATTCATTTGATAAGTCTTCCAGTTCTTTTTCCATTGACTGGACTTTCAACCTTTCTTTATTGTATTCTTTAACTAAAGCATCCAACTTTTCCTGTGTATTTTGGTAAACATGTAATAAAGGATCTTCTTTGTCTTTGTGCATTTCTAGTGCTTCTATAAATTTTAATTAAATTTACAAAAAAAATTTCTTTAATTAACCAGCAAGTCTTTGCATTTTTGTTTCCGCTTCTTTAATTTTTCTCACACGTTTTTGTTTAAGTGCCTCATTCCCTGCCTGTTCTCCTCCAACTAATTGTTGTTCTAATTGTTTAATTCGTTTTTTGGCACTTTCAGCACTTTGTTCTTTACTTTTTGCCAGTTCGATTTCTTCACTAGCCTTTTCATATTCTTTTCGAAGTCTAAAAAAATTATTTTTTTATTTTCTAAACTTTTATTCACTCTCGTTTAAAACAGAGTTTCGTTACCATCCCCTCTAAAACACAATTTTCCTCCCCCTAATCTACAAAATAGAACTTTAATTTTATTAAAAATCACTTTGCCAAATCAGTTTGCAATTTCTCCTTGTTTTTCTGTTCATTTTCATAGCTTGAACGAAGCTCTCGCATAGCAATCTCAAATTCTGCCCGCAATTTATTTCTTTCTCTTTCAAATTCATCGTTAGCTTGAACAACTGGTTTTTCTTCTAAAAAATATTTTTTTAATTTTAAATAATTTTTTCAAGATTTTACGAGGTTGTTGAACAAGTCTTTTAAGCCTTTCAATTTCTGCCTGATATTCTCTAAGTAAAGCGTCTTTTGGATCTTCATTAATTCTCGGTTTATTCTAAAAATTAAAATAATTTTTAAAAATATTTTTTAAATTTACCCGAATATTCTTTGCTCTATTTGCATAACGCAAAGTTGATAAACTTTCATCAAAATTATTATCTGAAGGAGAAATACAAGCAATCATTACTGTTTTTGTATTTCCTCCAAGGGAGTCCTTTAAAATTTTTTCTTGGCCTTAATTAAACAAATAAAGAATACTTGAAGTAATCTAGTAAGTTTAGAATCTCTATAAGGAATGTGTGTAGAACGGCCATCAACTAGAGCAGAAATAACGTTTCCGAGAGCAGAAAGTGAAAGGTTGATTTTTGTTGCTTCTAAATAATTTTTAAATTAAGAAAAAAAATTATTTTTTAAACCTTTAAAACGTTCTCCGGTAGCACCCGTCTTTGCCTGTCTTTCGCTCCCAGCCAAATCAACCAAATTTAATTTTCCCATTCGGATATGTCCACTTTTGGAGAGCGCCTCTACATAAACTGTAAATATTGAATGTGACCTTAAAAAGGTAAAATTATTCTCAAAATATTTTTTATTCATTAGAAATTTTTTTAAAAACCTGCTCGAATCCTTGTTCATTAAAGTTGCACCAACATGTCTACTGTTAAACCCTGTCTGCATTAAACTCTCACAATCTAAAATTTAATTTTTACAATTTCAAAAAATATATAAACAAACCTGCTACATTATGGCAAATATGCATTCCCAATCCAGCTATATAAACACCCTTTATTGTAAAAAATATTAAATTGTCAAAAATGAGAAAAACAATGTAGAAATACCTGTTCTGGATGTTCCTACACTTAAAATGAAAATTAGAAAATAATTAAAAATATTTTTTAATTAGCTCATCTATTTGTTATATTGTTTTTAAAAACCTACTTTAACTTCCAATTTCTTTTTGTTGTCCCCCAATAAATCACGAATTTCTTCATTATAAATCTAAAATTAAAGAAATGATTTTATAAAAATAAAATGTGATTTTTTAAAGCTCGAAAGATTAGAAGGAATGTATATTTCGAAAAAGCTTATTCCTCGACACCCTTCTCAAATTTTAATAATTATAAGGTACTCTGCGTTTATATACCACCATGTCCGCAAACGTATGTCCGCACTTATTTTCTTTTCCCTCTTTCTCCTCTCATAAAGATTAGAGAGGAGAAAGAATGCTTATGAAGTTAAGCATTGGAAAGCAAGTTAGATGGCTATGTCGTAAATCAACGTGTCGTTCTGAAGTCAAGCTGCGAGTCGGAACATGGTTAGAAGGGAGTCGTATCTCATATGTCACCATTCTTGAATTCATCTACTGTTAGAGAGCTACTTAGCGGAATTTATGTGTAGGCAAGAAGCTAAGGAAGAAAATTTTTTCGAATGGATTTGTAAAAAAATAGCAGAAATATGGCCTCCGAAATAATTTCTAAAATTGTCTTATTTTTGCTTTTATATTTTTATATAAACGAATATTTGTCTGTTGTTTTTACTTACCATTTCTAATCTTTATGAGAGGAGAAAGGAGAAAGGAAAAGAAAATAAGTGCGGACATACGTTTGCGGACATGGTGGTATATAAACGCAGAGTACCAATTATAATTAATTTAGCTTCCCCGATTTAATAATAAAAAAACTAACCTCCAAATAGGAAACATGGACAAGGAATTTAGTATGCTCTGTAGTAGCGATAGATTCGAAAATATGTTCAAAAGCGCGTGGAATAATCCCTCTTTGTACAGGCACTTGTGGATCTCCCTGCATTGAATAGGTTTTACCAGAACCTTTAAAATAATAAGGAAATTTAGAAATATTTTCAAAATTAACCGGTCTGTCCATAAGCAAACACCTGGAAAAAATAAATACAAAAAAGTTAATTTTTTTAGAATAAAATAAAAAATAAATACCGTTCCATTATAGCCCTCTATAACATTCTAAAAATTAAAAAAAAATTTTGAATTAATTGTTTCTCAAACCTCAACCAAAGGGTAGACAATATCATTGTATATTTGCTCAGCAGTAGCGTCCAAATAATACACACTATCGAAAGTGAACAATTTGGGCGGGTTTGTGCCATCAATTAGCGCACACTATGTAAAAATAAATTTTATTTTTAAATCATTCTTGGATCTTTAATTTTTTTTAATTTTAAAAATACCTGGCCCAAAGCTTCATCCATCTCGACACATACCTAAAAATTAATATTTAAAGGGACTTTCATTTTTCACGTTTATTCTTTCGAAAAAGGATTTTTCTCAAAAGTTCATCTCCTCAAGGAAACTCGTCAAAATAAAAATTTATGGCAAAGAGAAGTTTTCTTATTTGAGCATGACCCCATTTAAAAATTAACTTTAATTTACCGTTGAATTCAATTGTAATTCGCGTTCATTTAAAGGTCTACATCGAACAATAACACGAACACTTTCTGCCATCAGTTGATTTTATTGTTGTTGCAATATTAATTGAAGCTTAAAAACTTTAATAATTTGAAAAATGAAGACATATTTCACAAATAATTTTTTAAGAAATATTTTGAAAAGGAAAGAAAACTTTAACAAAAAAATTCAAAAAAATCTTTACCTTCACGTTTCGAAGAGTCATCGCCTTGACAACCTTAAGGCTAACTATGCCAGCGTTTACCAACATCTTACCGAAGAAAAAAGTACACACGTAATATTTCTAAAAAGGCAAAGGAATAAACACCAAGAATAATTTTTAATTAAAAAAACTTTGTTTACCTTTTATTCCTTCTAAATAATTTAAATTTAATAAAAGTGCAAATTTGCAAAATTACGTTTTTGGAATGAAAAAAATTAAATAGAAATATGCATTGTTTTGAAGCATATTTATATTAGAGGTCGGCAAAGTGTTTGATGGATCCCGAATGCGGGATTTTTTTCCAAAATTTTTGCGGACATTTTTAGACATTTTAATTTTGCGGATAAATCCAGCAAATCGAAAAAAGTGCGGGATTGCGGTCGCGGGATCCCGCAAAATCCCGCGCCGACCTCTAATTTATATTTGTTTTACTTTTCTAAAATATATTTGAAATTTCTTAACATAAAGAAGATAACGAGTTGAATAAAAATCAACTATCAACCAAAATTTTTAAAATGAAGAGAAATTTTTATCTTTGAAAAAGATTATATGAGAATTATCCATAGTTATAGAAATTAAAATTAGCAGTAAAATGATGTAGTTTTATATCAACTTTAAGTAAAGGTCTTATAAAAGTTTAACCCAGCGAAAATTGTCATTGAACCAGCTTCTTTCTAATTTTTATAGTTTTGTTTTCGACGTTCCATCTCAATCCTACAAGCGGCTCCCAATTCTCCATCTATAAAATAATTATTAAAATCATATTTAAAAATTAACCTTTTGCAGCATTTGCAGCTTCTTTAAGACGCAAATAAGGCCAATTTTTGAGAATCTTGGAGAGTTTAGTATATGAAGATGGAGAACTGACATTAAACTTTCCACTACTTGTACTACAATAAGTTGGAGTCTAAAAATTGAAAAACAAATTTATATAAGCTTTTTGCCTCAGCTCTAGCTATCACCTGACCCCGAAATTTTGTTTAAATTTAAAAACTCTCTCACCTTCAAATTAGAGCTAGTAGTATTCCGAGAAGCAACATTCGGCATCCTATCACAAGAAAGACAAAAGACACTTTGAAACACATTAACTTCTGAACGATCACAGACAGTTTCTTTAACGGCGGTTTATGAATAACGAAAATGGAGTTAAAAAAGCGTCCCTTATATTAAGTTATGCCAGAAGGAAAAATTTAATTTCAAATCCATAAAATTGAAGGTACTTTTCCGTTTTGTTACACCCCCCTATATTAATGCTCAAAATGTCACATATAAGGTAATAAAAAGTGCTGAGTCGAACGGTACCTTTCTTTTTCCCAGGAGATGTCTGTGGACCGAGATATATGGCTCGAAATTGTCAAAAACCATAGGGGGGAGTAAGTTCATTTTTGGGGTAAAAATTCGAATATACAAATAATACCCTATTCAAAAGAGCTCATGGAGCTGAGTCGAAAGACACCAAGAACAACGAAATCTGATTTGATTTGACCGAGATTCAGGTCCCTGAAAATTGAAGAACCACACAATTTTTTGTATCGTAACTCGGTCCAAACTTGTTCGAAGACGGTGATTTTGGTGTCATTCAACTCAGCTCGTCGAGCTCTTTCGAATGATTTATTATTTGCACATTCGAATTTTTTTTACCCCAAAATGGCCCAATGGTTTTTGACCATTTCGAGCCCTTTATCTTTGTTCACAGACATCTCCTGCGAAAAAGAAGGGTACCGTTCGACTCAGCACCTTTAATTACCCTATATGTGACATTTTGAGCATTAATATAGGGGGGTGTAACAAAACGGAAAAGTACCAAATTGAATTACCGACAAAAAATGCTCAAATTAACTAAGAGACCTGAAAACTCCATTTTCGCAGTTATAAACGAATTTGAGTGTTCACTACGATCCCTACAAAGTCGACATTTGACCATCTGCGGAACAATTGAATCACTGTTATGACGGCGCATTTATCAGTTACAAAGTTTAAAAGAACAATTAATGTTGCCGAGATGGCTCTGAAATTTAAAAAAAAAATTATTAAATAAAGGTTACAGTAAACTTTCATTAAAAAATTTTAAATCAAAGTTTGTCGTTTTGAAGAAATAACAATGAAAGTATACGAAAGATATATCGCGACATTTCGCCATTCTTAATTAAAATGTACGTTTTGTCAACCGCTTAAGTGACACTTTGCCAAAGATTTATAGTCAAGATTAAAATTCAAATACTATCCCGAGATCAGAAAAAAGTTCACGTGAATTAAATTTTAACTCTTTGATGATTCATCTTTTAATAATTCTAAACAATTAGTATAAAAGCTCAATAATTTCCCCATAAAATATCCCAACAATCAGCAATCATCGCATTCTTCACATCATATCGTTGCGTAATTCAAACAACAACATGAAGTCGTCATCGCTGCTCTCGGCCGTCATGCTGACCACCTTGTTCTTCCTGTGCTCTGCTGTGTTCTTCACCAATGTGTATGTTTATTCTTCGTTTAATTTTAAATACAAAAATTTATTTAAGTCGTCCCCAAGATCTGCCAAACGATGAGACAAAGGCAAATGGGACTGGAACGCCACTGTCAAATACGACCGGACCGCCATCGAATGGATCTCAATCGACCACAAATGCGACCTTGGATGAACATCTGCAAGAGGAAAACAAGTGAGTAAACCACTCTAAATTACTAGGGAATCTGGTTTATGTTTCAGCAAAACAACTAAAAATAACCTCCCAAACCTTAATTTGATAATTATTTTTCTTTTTCCAGGGGCAAAACTCGTCAGCCTGATCCAATGTTCCGTGCAATGTTCCCACAGGGAGACGGTCCGCGAGAGCTCTTAGACAAAAAGATAAAGGATTATAGCGACAAGGTGGAGCATGTGCAAGCGTCTAGTCTGATCAACGATGTTGCTACTGCCAAGAGCTCCGAGCCTGTAGGAACTGGGCCAACTGGTAAGTGCAAAGCAAAGATATTTTGAGAATGTTTAATATTTCCTCTGATTTTCAGGCAAGACGATGTCTCTGATCACAGGTTCTTCGAGCTCCACGAAGCAGCCTTCGGTTGCTACCCCTGATCCACCTGTTGCCGTGAAACAGCCTCGACCTCTGGGCTTACGATATACTTTTCTCGGTGCTAGTGGCGTGTGAGTTCTTTTACTGTTTTTATAAAAGCCCTGAAATAATCTTTTTCTAATTCTAGCTTGTTGTTCTTGATTTGCATGCTTCTCTGCTACGAGCAATGTTGCCAGTCGCCGCACTATTGATGAGAGGAGTTGTCGCTGCCCGGAGGATGTTCGGATGTTGTAGATATGTTCATAAATATATATTTGCTTCCTATACCCTATCACACTGTATTGGCCTATTGTGTGTATTTGGCATTTGTGCCCATATATAAATCTCTGTAACCTCTAATTCCTCTAATATATAGGATATTGTGTGTTAATATGTGAGAGTATATTCTCTGTCCTTATATTGTTTGTATTGTTGTATTTTGATAAAAGTGTTATAAAAAATTGCCGGTTTTTCTCGACTTTGGTTGAAATCCTTTTTTAATTTTAAATTCATTCTTCTCCTCTTGAATTTTTAATTTTGATAATTTAATCGGTTGGCGGGGACCATAATTTAGTCAACTAGAGTATTCCCTGTTTTACAATTTTTAGCCAAAATTCAGAAATTTAAAATTTAGTTTGTTCAAATGGCAAAAATATTGAATTTTGAGACGTAAAATTTTTTATGTTGCTAATTCGCATTTCTTTTTTATTTACCTAAAACGTGGCTGTTTTATATACTCCATAATTTCTAAAGAGTAATTATTGATTCTCGCCAACCCATTCTTTAAAAAAGAAAATCTATCGGATTATGGCATCTAAATTTTATTTTTTTCTAATAATTATTGTAATTGGATTTGTTCGAGGCCTTGCTTCAGGTATGTAATTTGAAATTTATTTATCGACTAAATGATTTCTGGCTAATTACGGAAATCCTGTCATTTTTCTCGACCCTTTTTTTAATCAAAAGACATTGTGAAATTATTTTATCGATTTAGTCATGAGAAAGAATTCATGAACGTTCTATTAATTTCAGGTTCTAAATCCTTTCATAATTCAATTTGAAATTTGCCTAAACCAAATCATTTTCTTAAACGTTTCACCAACAAAAAAATATGCTTAACTAAAATTAGTCCCATTTCCACATCTTCTATGCCAAAACACGTTCATTATCATATTTCAATATAATATTTTTTTCTAGCAAATATGACCGGGAATTCTACAGAAATAACAGAAGATTACCTCACCACTACCAGCAAAAAGCCAACTTCAATTTCTTCAAATAAAAATATTACCGAAACGATTACAGCCAAAAGTGCCGAAACAACTAATATGGAGCACAAAAATACCGAACAGACTACTAAAGAAACTTTTCCTCCAAAACTTCCGCCACCAATTTTTGAAAAGAAAAATCCCAAAAAATCTGGCATAAGAGATGAAAAAGCAGAACCGATTTCACAAGGCTTACCAGATAACAAAATGTCTCAGGAATCTTTTAGAAGTCCGAAAGAGAGAATTTTCGATAATATGCTTACTATTGAGGAAGAATATAAAAATGGAAAGAAATCTGGTGGAAATAAATTTTTAGGTTTGTAAATATTTTGAAATTTTTTTGGAAATTTATAAAAATAAAATTTTAGCTCAACAAGTTAAAAACAACATTCAAGGTGGAATGGATCGTATTGAGGTTTTTCTTAATCCTAAAAATATTTTAAAAATAAAAAAATTTAGGGGAAGATTGACGATGAATTTATTGGCGAAGAGACTTATGCTTTGCATTATTTTGCTATTTTTGCCTTTTCGTTGGGTATTACTTATTTGGCTTATTATAATCGAAGGAGGATTATCGGTTTTTGTTTTTATTTAATTTTATATATTTTCGTAGCTAGGGGGACTTTTGTGGTTGAAGACCCACCCGAAATGGGGAAAATAAAAAATTTTGGGAGGGAAATTATCAAAAAAGCGATTTTCTTTCGCCTACAACCACAAAAATTCTCAAAATCTTCACCTGCGGCGCTGGAAAATTAAAAATAAATGTACAAAAATGGAAGGCCGAAATAGCCCCCTGAAATCGACCCCTGGCTACGCCCTTGTAATTTATATTTCGCAAGGGTTATATCTTTTGAGCTTTAATTTTTTTTCTTTTCTGTTAAATTATCACAGGAAATTCACCAATTATTTTTTAATCCTTTCGAATTCTTTGTCCACGAATAGAAAATTTCTAACAATAAGAATCTTTATTTTTATTAGGATTTTAAAACGGAATTTCTCCGGATTCTTGTTTACTTTATTTCGCTTCCTTGAATAGATACAGAACCATGTTTTTAGTATAAAAATGTGAATATTTTTTAATTAAAATTTATAATTTTCAAGGTTATCTAATCGAAGGGAAGAATAATGCTCGTAGTGGAGGGAGATATCGTCGATTGAGTCAATCTGTAAATGCTGCAAATGTCTAAATAAACATGTGAGATTTTAAAAATAAATTGGTGTGGCAGGGATTGTCAAAAAAATTTTATAGAAATTTCTAGATAAATTATAGAAGAGATTATAATTAAAACTCAGTTCTCCTTATTATTTTCTCTTTAATTAAATTTTGAGCCCCGATCCTGAACGAAAATCTCGGTTATCGAGATCGATTTTTTTCGAGAAATCGTGCAACATTCCTAGTTCGCTCTCTGATTTAGTTATTAAATTTTTTGATTTTCTTATAATTCGAAAATTTTAATTTGTATATTTAATTTTTCCTAAAGTTCCCCCATTCTTCAAAATTTCGATAATGAATTTATTAAGAATTTAGCTTAAAAATTTAATTTAAAAATTATTTCTATTTTTACCAATTTTCTCTTTTTTAAGTTAATGGTTCTTTGGAAAATGTGATATTCACGTGAATTTGGCCAGTATTTCTTCCTATCGTTTTTCTATTATTTAGGCCATTCCGCAACCAATTTATTTTTAAATAATTATTTTTAACGGGTGTATAATGAATTTCTCTATTCTCTTTTTTTCCTTTTCTCTTAATATTTCTTTTTTGATTTATTGTTAATCACATGTGGTATAATACTCTTTTCGTCCTTTTTTAGTGTTCGTAAGTTTCCAAACTGTTTTTACTAAATTCGAGATTTTTTTTTGAAAAAATCGAGAATTTTTTAAAAATTAAATTAAAAACAAAGGAAAAATATTTATTTTGAATTTTAAGGAGGTTAATTATTTAAAATAAAACAGTTTGGAATTACTAAAATAATTCTACTATATATATTTAATATATTTTTGATAATAAATAAATATTAAATTAATAAGTTGGGGGAAATTCTCTTTATTTAAAGATGGAAAACTAGTGCTGGGTATGGTTCCGGAGCCCAACTCCGGAGTCGGCCAAGATTTTAAGCCTGGGGCCAAGGGTTGAAAAAGGCCGGAGTAATAAATTCCAAATACCCCGCACTGTTGAAAACTATTTTTTATGGCCTATCTAAATTAGTTTTAAAAAAATAATGAAAATTCGAGTTTTGGACAACTAAAAACTTAATTTTAAGTTGTCTACATTTATCGTAAAATTCAAATTTATTCTCGTTAAATTCCAAGAAACAAAAAAAATTTTTTATTTAATTACATATCTATTCCTTTATTAAAATCGAGAATCTATTTTCAATTCCTCGCTTTTTAAAAGAATTTTTATCTTTTTTTAAAGAAAAACCAGTGTTTGCTTATTTTTTCCTTTATTATCTTTTTTTACATTGAAATAAATGGGTAATTTCCTCTTAATAAATGAGAGGATCATCAATATTCTTTCCCTATTTTTGGCCAAAAAATAAATTTTAAAATTAAATAAATAAACATAAACACTTTTTTATCTGAAACTATCAGTCATGAAAAATAATTTTTTCTGATTTCTTTTCTAGCGAACAGTTAAAAACTGACACTATTTGTGGGGTCATTTAGGCGCAAATAAATTTGTCGTTAGAGGTCTTGTTTGACTAAAAATATTTTTAACGCCAAAATGACTTCTTTCCACCTTTTTACTGTTGAGTATGTAATTAAAAAAGAACGGTTATTTCTCGTTTTTTCTTCATTCCCCCCTAGTAGACAGCTGTTGTTGACCTTTAAAAACGTTTATTTACCTTTAATATTTCTTAACATTTTCCGGTCGTTCTTTGAAAGTTATCTTTAAAAATAAAGTTGTTTACGTTAATTTCTTCTGTTCGTTTTTTGATAGTAATTAATCATTCAAGTCTATTTTAGTGTAAATATTTTTATTTGAAGTTAACAGTTGGTTAAACTAAATTTGGAAAAAAACAAAAAAAACTAATTTAGGTAATTCCTTTGGGTAAATGGCAGAGGTGTCCACAATAGGAAAATTTTTATTCGACTAAATTTTTATTCGACGACTCAAGTTCAAAATACACAATTTCACGTTATCCAAAAGAAGACTGGTAAACCAGGGGTGTGCCGAAAGTGATTTTAAAAAGCGAAAGGCGAAAATGCGAAAGTCCAAAAGGCGAAACTCGCACATCCCTGTGGTAAACGATTATAATAGGGAATAAACTGTATTTTAATAGACTTTACATTAATTTTTGGGCATTTTACTATTTTTGAACTTTCCAAAAATAGATTGAATTTTTATGACTAAAAAAGATTAAAAATTTAAACGTGACTGATTTGAATATAAAAATAATTTTTTTTTATTTCCTTCTTCAAAATTCTTTATTCCTTTTTACAAAATTTAAAATCTGACTGAAAAAAGTGATTATGTGTGGGATTAGAAGAAAAAGAGCATTCGAATATTTGCATAAATTAATGAAAATGAGCAATAAATGGAACAGGCAAAATTAAAAAAAAGATATTCTTGAATTATTTGGAATTAGAAAATAAACAAGAAAATATTCTCCTTCAATTCCAAATATTTTTAAAAAAAGATCAAATAAAAATAAAAAAATAAAAAAAACGAATCGAGATATAAATGGAAGAGTGGAGCTAAGTAAACAGGAAAATCAAGCAAGAGAAATTTTAGTCAAGGCTTAATAAAAGGAAGAGAAAATTTCCCTCTAATTTCCTCTTATATTCAAAATTTTCTGCTTGATTTTTAAATTTAAATATAAATTATAATTTATTTAAAGAAACATCCAAAATATAAATATTTTTACTCAATTCTATTTAACTAAAGTTGTAGTCGTTGGTGTAGGTATTCCTGTTGGTGTCGATGTTTGGTTTGTACTGTTGACAGCCGCTACTTTCTTGCGTCTAGGCAAGGATTTTTTCATTGTTGTGGAATCACCATCACCCATGTAATATGAAGGGGGTTGAAGGCATGTTGCGTAGAAAAGACGCCTTCCGTTCCTGGGTGCTGGTGAAGAATTCTCTTCTTTGGCTGGAGAAGTGTTATCAATTGATAACGATTTGTCTTCCTCTTCCCTTAAAATTAAAAAGTTTATTGAGAATAAAAATTATTGATCAATCAATTGATAAGTTAATCAAAGAATGGAAGAGACGATTACTTTAATCCAAGTTCTCAATTAATGGGATCCAGTAACCACGTTCGAGTAAAGCAACTGGGCTATAGCTATTTCTCTCCTTTAGCTAGTGCAAAAGGTTATTCGGCGGCTGGGAACGAACCAGCATCTTCAGTAAACCGGACTGATCTATTATGTATCCATTACACACGCCGCCTACTGCATAGCCTTAGGAGAAAGTCTTTACATTCGCCTAGATCAGATCATAAGTTGCTGAGTTCCTCATATCAACTCATTCCTTTCAAATTTCCCAAACCCCCATTATTTCATTTTCAAAAACTTGCCTTCCATTCTGTTTCTGTCTTCTAGCAATTCCAGAAGCAGCTTTTCTCTTTGCCGCCATTACAGTCAAAAAAGATTCCTTCATTACAGGTGTAGTTCCATTAGTTTGTCCATTAATTTGTGGTGGTGGTCTAGGTGGAAGTGGTGGAGGTTTTACACAATTATTTGAAGAAGTTTTTCTATTTGAAGAAGGAAATTTTAAAGGAATTTTTGGTGATTTTCCATTAATTGTTGAAGGTATTGCTGAGGGTATTCGACTTGGGGGAGGAATATAAGCATTATTTAATTGGTGTTCTGGAAGTGTTTGAGGAATTAAAGGAATTGATTGTTTAATTTCTTTTGTCATTTCAACTTGTTCTGATTTTGTTGTTTTCTTTTCTTCTTCCGTTGTTTCTGCTGAATTTCCATCAAAACTTTGAAAAAATTTTTAAATTTAAAAATAAAAATTATTTTTTAACAAAGTTGGACCTCTATTCAATGAATTCTACCGGCATTATCTCCTATTATCATTTCATTATTATCATTTAATGTATGCCTTCTGGACAGTCCACTGATATAGAGGTAAACAAAAGATATATTATCCTATTTCTGCCTAACAAATTACGCTATATTGAGAGTACACTATATAGAGGAGTAAACACAAGAGAGCGTACATTATATAGAGGTTTTCCAAAAAACTGCCCTTATTTGGACAAAGATTTATTAAATTTTCTGTTAAATTAAAAGTATCTTCTTACTAGTCTTCTATCGGCATTATCTCCTCATCCTTCTTCAACTCCTCTTCATTTTCCTCCCTTCCCAAATCAATTTCCTTTTCAAATTTATCAACCTTCCCCTCATCATTTTCCAAAAATTCATTATCATTTAATTCGCCTTCTTTATCCTTTTCCTTCATTTCCTCAATATTCCCGCAATTCTCTTCCTTCTCCAATTCATTCAATTCCTCCTCCATAATTTCATTTAATTCCAAATTCTCATTAAATAAATCTATTTTTGTTTCAGAACAGATTATTCCTTCAATGAACGCCTTATCCTCCTTTTCTTCTTCCTTCTCTTCCTTCATTTCTTCCTTCCCTTCTTCAGTAATTTCCACCTCCTCCTTTTCATTAATAATTTCCTTAGGGATATCTCCTTCTCCTTTTTCTTCTTCTTCACCCTTCTCTTCTCCCTTCTTTTCAACTAAACAATAATCCATTTTTTGTTGTAAATTACCCGAATTCCTTTTTTCTTTTTCTTTGGAATTTTCTTTATTTAAACAACAAATATTTGGAGCAATTTTCTCTTCTTTTTTATTTTCTTCTGTTCCGTTTTTAATTTGTTCTGATTTTGTTTGGAGAGATCCGGAAATAATACAATTGCCATTTGCTGTAGTTGCTGCTGAAATTGTTGTTTCGTCGTCACTTTCTGCAACGGGAGGAAGGCGAGGGACTAAAAAAAGAAAAGAAAAAATAATTTAATTTTTTAAAAATCTATTCAATTGGAAATTCTATTTAAACTGTTTTTAAGGCTAAATTAGAAATTTACTGAAAAAATTATTTTAAAGGAGGGACAATTCACAGAAAAGGACAATTCACCGAAACGGACAATTCGCAGAAAATATTTTTCTGTTGAATTTTAACGTTAAAGAAAAAAATGTAATTGAGATTTAAAATTTGAAAAAAAATATTTTAAAAAATTCCCACCATGTCTCCTATTTCGAATTCTTTCCCTAGCTACCGATATCATTTTCCTCAAGTCATAAAGAAATTGTTCTGCAATAGGCGGTGGAGTTGACATTAATTTGGGTTCGAAGAATTCTGAAAAAGTTGGAAAAATAAAATTAAAGTTTATTTAAATTTATTCTGAAAAAAGTTGGAAAGTCCGTTTATTTTCCCCCAATCTTCACTATAAAAACTCACTTCTACGCATATATACTTGCATAAGGGGCATTAAAGGTTCGGACGGTTCTGAAGCCGACGGTTCAGACATCCCTTTAACACTACTTGTTGGGGTCATAGTCGTTGTTTTTGGAGATATTTTAATTGGTGAAATAGTCATCCAAATAAATAAATAAAACTTTTTTAGGTTAAATAAAGGATATAGAAAAAAAATATTTTTTTTGAAAAAAAGTTTTCTCAGCTGATTTCTACAAATTTTAAAGAAAAAAATAAATAAAAATATTTTGTAAAATATTCAGAGAAAAGAAAATATTCAAAACTTTTGTCCTTTGTATGTACATAATATATAATATTTTCTTTTTTTTACTGACAAACTAAAAATATTTATTTATGTGAAAATGGTTGTTGAATTCGCGAGAAAATAAATAAAAATATTTATTTTTATATTTATGTTTGGCTCTCTCAAAACGAGAGCCTTTTAAATAAAAATGGGGGGAATGAATGAATAACCCCCCAGCACGGGGCGGAGGGAAGGAAAGAGAGAAGGGGAAATGACAGAGAAAATAAAGAAAAAAAGAAGAAAAAAGAGAACAAAAACAGAGAACAAAAATTAATAGGAAAAAAAATTTTTTTGGTGAAACAAAGTCCATGAAATTAAATATTTTTGGCCAAAAAACATATGCTTTTAGTGACAGCTTTCACCTGTTTTTCACATAGGCTTTTTCTCCTTCGAGAAAGGAAGAGAGTTCTTTTTTTAGAAGAAAACCTTTTGACTTCAAAAAAGAATTAGTAAAGTTTAAGGTAGGCTTTATGGGGCGTTCTTACTTTTCTAAATTAAAAAAAATTAGGATATTTATAGCCATGAGGGTTTTTGTAAAGATATCCTCAATAAAGCTAATTAGCGTAAATGCTAAAATAATTACCCAGGGTTATTATTTTTTAACCTCTCGCTGGACAAGGAAATGCTTGGACAAGGAAACGTCCCATAAAAAACTACCCAGAACATTACTAATTAGGTGGGAGGAGGTAATTATTCGAGCTTTTATTAGAAAGGCTAATTCTAACTATTTTTAGAGGGGTAATTATTTTTTCGATCTCTGGCTGCAGGGGGAGTAATTAATAGGGCGGGGTATTTATTTAAGAGAGGGGCATAGCATTTACGGTAACTTAAATTAAAATTTCTAAAGTTTTTGGTTAATTATTAATTAAATTAGTAATGTAAAATGAACTTAAAAACATTTTAAGAAAATTTTGACATCTAAAACTATTTAATTTTATTTATTGTTTAATCAATTTTCGGGGGTATTGATAATTATTGTTGAATGCAAAATTTCAAAGTTTGGATTGGTTGGTGCATGTTTTCCTAACATTTTATCAATAAAATATAATTTTATCAGTACATATTTATATACATTATTAACTATTAACTGATGTCAATTTAATTAGAAAATATGGAATTTTGGATTGCTTGGACAAGGAAATTTAAGTTTCAAAATTTCTTTTAAAGTATTAAGTTCTACTCCAGGAAAATTTACTTCCACTATTCCAGACATTTTAATTAATTAATTAATCTAAGAAAATTAATTTAAAACTAATAAATAAACTGATGACTCAAAGAAAAATTTATTGTTGATTTATCAATAAATTATCATTTATCAGCGGAAGTAAAGGCAAAGAACATAAATAGATATACTTTTTTTGATTAATTATTTTTTAATTGATTTTATGAAAAAAATGACGTGCGCGTTTATTTCCCTCCTCCAATTGGCCCCTTTTATTCCCCCCAAGGAGCGGAAATGCTTTTTTGGTGATTAGAACGGAAATGTTCTTTTCGGATATATTAAACATAAACAGTTGGTTTAAATAAATCTATTTTTGATATTTGAAAAGAGTAAATAGGAGAGGACTACAAAGAAGAAGATTGAAGGTAATTAAATGAACAGAAATATTTTTAAAATAAGTTTTTTGGTTTTTTTAAATTATATATCCATTTATCACAAACCCCTTCCTCAATTCTTTTCATAAATTTATATTATTTTTGAATATTGCTTGTAAAATAAGAAGGTCAAAAAATTGTGGTATTTTAAATAGGGAAAGTAAAGTAAAAGATTGGAAATAGAGCTCGGACCGAGACGAAATATCCATAGAAAATTTCGATTATCGAGATCTTGATTCTCGTACGACACTCCCAGTTTGGGCTTTAATTAGAAATTCTGATTGGAACTCAGACTTAAATTTATTATAAGTTAATAATCTACAAAATAATCTACTGTATTTCTTGAATAATTACCCTGTGTAATTATTTTTTCGATCTCTCATTAGGAAAGGATGATTAAGTTTCGATACTCTTAATAGAGTACAAAAATAAAATTTTAGAAAAAAAACATTCTAAAACTTTAATACAAAAAAATACAAAAATATTTTTGCACAAAATCATCCACGCGAATATATTAAAAACAGTTTTTTTTTTAATAATTTCCTTCATTTTTATTAAAAACTTGTTTGTAAATTCTTAAATAATAAGCATAAAAACAACAAACCAAAATTTAACGATTACTTTGACTAAATTTTAATAAAAATGTGATCAGTGGAAATAATCGCGTGTGTTGCTTTTGTGAAGGTTTTAAGTAAATAAATAGAATTTTAAAACTATTTTCGGGCTAATAAAATAAAAAAGAGCACCTAAAAACATGAAATTTTGCAGAATTAACATTAATTAAAGTATCCAAATCCTTTAAAAATTTCAGAATTTTCTATTGTGTAATTAAAGAAATATAAGGAAAAATGTAAAAGATATATTCGAAAAATTATTTTTGGCTATAATTCATAAAATATCAGAAATTCTTAATTTTCAAAGAGAAGTCATCGACAGAGACTATTCTTGTGGGAGGGACATACAAAAATCGGGATTATATCTCGGAAAATCGAGGTTATATCTCGGAAAATCGAGGTTATATCTCTCGATAACCGAAATTTTCCTTCGAGATTTCGCCTATAGTCAACACTATTGGAAACGTTTTTTTTCAAAAATTTTCTAGTACTCGTTATTAAATAATTTTATAAGACCGCAATAATGTTTCTCACGCCCAAACAACCCTCCCCCTTCCTCCTACTTCCCAACTTCTTTCTTTCCAACTTTTTTCAATTAAAAATAAGGAGAAAAATCCGAATATTTACCTGAACTAAAATAAAGTTTTCTTCTTGCCCCATTTTGTTGTTGTTCATCATTTCTTTGTAAATTCCCTTCAATATCTTCATTTCCCCCACCATATTCACAGGAAGACGATGGAGAAGAAAAACATTCATCTAAACAAGATATCCTTCCCCCTCCCCCACCATTTTCTAAATTTTCTGAACGATTTAAAGAAAAGGAAGGGGATTGTAAAGAAATGGGGGTTGCTGTTGTTGTTGTGTCTGAACGCATTCCTGCTGCGGCTTTAACTAAAGCCTGATATCTTAATTGACATTCAGAAACTGCTTTTTCTTTTTCTTGACGAGCATAATGGAAAAATTGCATTTGGAGAGAGTGGACCTTTAATTTAAAATTAAAAATAAATTTTTAAATTTTTTAAAAATATTTTTTTTAATTTTTTATTTTCAATTTATTATTTCTCAGTATTCTTGATTGATTAAATATTTTTTATTATTTTGTGTATATTTATTTATTACTGTCACATTTTTCTTTTACTACAAAAATGCATTCTTAATTTTTGCCAAATAATTTTTAAAATTTAATCTTTAATTCTTTAAAATAATTTTAAGTATTTATTTGTTTTATAAAAATATTTTATTAATGTAAAGAAAAATTTAAAAAAGTTTTTTTTCAAAAAATTTAGTCAAAAGAAAAATAAAAAAAGAACAAAAGTTGCAGGAAGTAAATGAAAATGAGATTAATTTAAAAATTGGGATCTTTGGAATTCCTTATAAGAGACCAACCCCAACTGGATAGAACAACATTTTAACTATTAATTCCTATTAATTTTATTTTCCGTTTTATAAATATCCGGTAGAGGATAAAGTGAGGTTAACATAGCCTTATAGCAGGGGTGTGTGAGTTTCGCCTTTCGTCTTTCGTTTTTAAAATCACTTTCGGCACACCCTTGTCCTATAGTTAGTTGCAGATGTTGCAGGAAAATCTTCGAATATTCGGAACCAAAAAATAGAAAATATATTCTACTCAACCCTACTTGCAGTCCTTATTTTTTCTCTCTCAATCGGGGATGATCGAAATAAAAATTTTTATATTTCGAATCGAAACGAAATTTCGATCATCCCTGCTCTCAAGTAACGTTAAAGTATTAAAAGTCCAATCACATGACTTTTAAAAATTTTTCGATCGTTATCTTTAAACTATTAGCTAATAAATATATAAATATTAATCATTTACTATGCATTTTTGTTTTGATTAATTAAAAAATGCAAAAGGAATGTTTTTTAAAAAAAATTCTTTAATGTATTTTATTTTTCACATTCCCATATATTATTCACGTGTTTTAAATAGGAATTGTAAAATTGTGAAAAACAAAATAATAAAAGGAGAATGTTTTTTGGCTTGCAATTTTTTATTTTTAAAGAAACTGGAAAGAGAGAATATTTGCTTATTTCTTTAAATTAATTTAAAAAAGAACAATAGAAGAAAATACAAAATAAGAAGAAAAGATTATTATAGGAGTGAAGGCTTTTAAATTAATAATTTTTAAGGCTAAAAAATTTTTAATTTGTAAACTTTTCGAAGAAATATTATTTTTTATAAATTATTTAAAAATCCAAATTTACCAATTTACGTTTCTGAACACGCCAACAAACATTCCACAAAAGTATAGAGCCAAATAATGAAAGGAAGAGAAAAATACCCAAAAGGATAATTACAACTACCTAAATAAAAATTGTTTTTTAAAGGAAAATATATGATTAAAGAGAGGTTCTATTAAAAGATCTGTCCGAAATCGAAAATTTTTCTCGCAAATATAGAAACAACAGAATTTTCTGAAATTGTATTTTTCTGTCTTTCTATAAATATTCTGTGCCCTTTTTTAAAATTAAATTACAACTGTAAATAAGGTCCTCCAATAATATCTTAATTATTTAAATATTATTTACCTCAACTCTTCTCCCCTTTTCCACTTCCATCCCAACATTTCCATTACTAACAATTTCCGT